TACCGTGCCCGCTGGCGGGTGGTGCCGGCTCGGCCGCAGCCGTGTCCTAACGCCGTGCCGTTTGACCGCAGCCGGAGGAGGAGCCGGTGGCGGCCCCGGCGGAGGAGGCCGAGGAGGTGGCGGCTGACGACGACGCCGCCGCCGCCGCCTCCGACAAGGAGGAGCACGACGAGCTGTAAGGCGGCACGCCCGCCAGCCGTCAGCGGACACAAACCCATGTGATATGTGGTGGGACAGAGCCGGACTCGCCGCACACGGCCACTGCTCTGTGTTTGCGTGTGTGAGTGGGCGTGCGGCGCGGGCAGCACGAGGCTCGGCCGGTCCTTCACTCCTTCCAGCTGTGGCGGTCAGGACGCTGTCCACGGTGGCGTCGCACGTCCGTGATGGCGAGTTGACACGCGGGGGTCAGGGGACGCAGCGCGCGTGGCACGGCTGGTTTGACTGGGCACGACTTAAATTGGCCGGCGGTGGATTTCGACTAGACCTGCGGTGCAATGTTCCGTTAGCGTGGCTGGGCGAATTTGGCAGTTTTGTTTTTGTTCTTCATTATCATCCGGAGTCTGGGAACATTGGGCGTAGTATGGTGGGTGCCGGGAGGCCGGTCCCAAGAACCACCGATTTTGAAGCAAATGTCCCGGAAGTAAAACAAGTGTTCGTTTTGGGGACTTCCCATTTCCGTGGGAATGGTCGCTGTATACTGGGGACGCGCCCACTACCACAAGGCTGGCCGCAACGAAGTTGAGTGTCGTCACCCGTTCGTTCGTGTTGTCCCAGTGTGGACGTTGAAACAATCTCCCGCGATTACCGATGCTCATCAGTCACGTTTGTTATGCATGATGCTATTTATGTTACACTGCAGTGACCACGCGTTTTATGTTGGATGTTCTTCGTGCGATAGCGGCATTAAAAATTGCACTTGTCCGTGTTGGCATTCCCCGACATGTAGATATCTGGGATCAATACAAGTCGTGCTACAAGGTGTGCCAGCTGTAATTCTTGGACTCAATGCCCTGTCCCGGGCTCTGCAAGCAACAGTCGCACTGGGGAACAGAACAGGACAATGCCGGGCGCTCCAAAGGACACCATATCTGTGGCCGCCGGTATTCTGATTTGTGATTGGCAGACTAGGTTTCAATCGAAATAAAATGTTTCTAAATAAGGGAGAACTAGCAGTAAGAAGGGGAGCACTTCCTTTTCCTCGTAAAATAACCAGGAGAAATATGATGTATGATGTGTCGACATTTCGGCTACATGCTTTTGTCGAGACGAGTAAGGGGTGGCGTGAAGGCACGTGGCGACGAGGGCATGTGGCTGAGACGTCAATGCATCATCTCTTCTTTCTCCTGACCGCCCTGCGGGGAACGAGGCCAACGAAACTCTTGCCTACGGGTATATCATTCCTCGCAAATGTACTTCAGCAACTTGCGTAGAATCATAGCTGGCGTATTTCTTTGTTTACCCAGTGGGCCCAGAGGTCATTGCCAAAGCATAGCTGGTAGTTGGCATTGCATTTGCATTGCTTGATTGCAGAGATCGATTGCGAGCATTGCTGTGTAGCTTTGTAACACTTAGCCGTGATTTAAGATGCATGCCCAGAAGGCGGTTGTCCAGACGGCGGTGACGCTGGCAACGGTGGTGGTTTGCTCATTGTTAGGCGCCAGCGTTTTGTTGGCAGTCCGTTCCTGTCTTCGCTGCAAGGGCAGCTCAGCAGACAGTGTGCTTGCGAAGTGTATTGGCAGCTGCTGCTGTCTGCTGTGCGTTTCGTGCACCCTAGTGGGCTCATGCGATGACATCGTCTCCTGGAGAAAACGTGGGCAAGCCCGCGCCCGCATGCAAGCACAGTGAGCGATGGTCGAGTCTACGAGCTTGACCGCCTCACTGCACTCATGCGAGACCCATATATGCGGGAGCTTCCTCGGGCGCCCCGCACATTCCACTGGCTGTAATTCCGAGGGTTTTTTTACCCACGGTTATGGGCATATGGGGTTCATAGCAGCACCCCAAGGACCACTCTGATCTAGTTCTCGGCAGTGATTAAACCCGTCAAGTTTCGGCCCGAGTAAAGTGCTGAATTAGCACAGATCATGATTTGTTGGATTTGTAAACGACTGTTTTTGTGGGCATCAGAGCATTGTTCTGCGTGAGAAGGATAAGATCACAGGACTTGGTGAGCCAAGTTTGTCTATTTTTCGGGCATATTTCATCCGAATAACAAAATTCGTACCGTCAGAATTTCTCTAATGCCATTCGTCTTTTTACATCGAAACCAATCGCACTGAATTTCTGCCACCAAGTAGGTTTCCTTTGAGCTGACTTCTGCTCATTCATTCGTGTTGGCCGGAGTGTCACAGCCAGGTCCGGACCCGGGTTGAAGTCCGAGCACATTTCAGATGTTCGACAAGTTTGATTTCAGCTAGGCCACTTGTTGCGCTAGCGGACTGGTTTCTTCACTGACGCACACCCTAGCCGGGACCAGCTGAAAACGACACAGGGTTCGAAGCTTATCAATTAAAAGGCAATACGTCGTGCCCTAATGGGTGACGTTTCAGCAGTATCACATCGTTTCTACTCGGTAAGCAGTTCAGCCCCGGACCGCATATGCCGCCCACACCAACTTGAGCAGCTCAGCGGCAGCCAAATACCGACCGTGGTGTATTATGAGACGCCAGATGTGGATTGTACGCTTGGAACATTCCAAGGGAGGGCGGAAAGGCTTGGCCTAAACCAACTAGTTTGCCATTTCAACCAGAGGTGGAATCTTCTGCATGCAGATACAGAAGCGATACGTATCCATCATCTGTATATTACATTGCTCTTAACTCATCAATTTACCCATTGCCCAGAAGTCAGGAAAGGGTGTCATAACGTTAATAACGTCCACGAGGCTAGGCGGCCCCCTCGACACCAAATCATGAGGAAGCAGAAAGCCTTTGTAAAATCGCATCGAAAGCGCGAAATCAGGCAGAACGACGTGACACTCCATTACGAAAGTAGATTCATCCTAGATTTGGACGTGGACGCCACGCCCCTAGCGCGTGCGCCAGTCCCGTGGGCCGCGCCGCGACACTGCACTGGCGCGGCCCACGGCTCCGCCCGGCCGGGTCGGCCTGCCCCGACACTACCGCCCGGCCGGGTCACAAACAGCACTGGCCACTGGGCGTCCATGCGTCCCAGACACGCGCGCGCGCGCTGCCAGTGGCGCGTCAGCAGTCTGTATCACGTGCGGCCGCTGAGCGGCGGCGCCACCGGCGGTCTATTTGGCGCAGCGTTTCGAAGTACACCGTGCCGACGTAGCCGCCGCGTAATGACTTGTTGACGTTCTGCTCAAACTGCCGCCGGTTGTGTTGCAGTACCTCGGCTGCCTCTTTGTTAAGAGGGTCCTCTGGGTTTGGCTCCTGAGGTGGATTGAAAGAGTGGGCTTAGTCAATAGGCTTCGCTTACCGGGCGCGGAGGTAACCCGTCCGGGTCCATAATGGAGGCACGAACACAGCTAAGCTCGCTCACATGGAACAACAAATGGCCTCGCCACAAGTTCACCACAATACGTCACTGCCTCAGGCTGGAGTAATGCCACCATGTTTCCGTGCCATAAAGACGCACACAGTCGAGCTGGCTTGCAAGGTACGAGCCGTTTGTTGGAAGTCGCACCAGAGACCCATAAATTATAACTCACATTTGCATTGTGGCCAACGCTACGTCCCTGGTGTGATTGGTAGCACCATGAGAAAACATTAATTGGAAACACTCTGTCATTTGACACTTCAATGTGCTTAAATCGTAGAGGCAAACAAAATAAAAACAGCAAAAGCAAAGCTGGATATGTGCGCAGCCAGTCAAGACAGCAATGTGAGACAGCATCGCACGTTACAGAGGCCTGACGAAGCACTTTCACCAACAACGAAAACTACCTCACTGCCATAGCGCCTTCTTCAACCGACCCGTCACGGAACGACAAAGCACATGCTAGTGTTGCACGAGTGTTACTGAGTTCAGTGCCCAGTGTTCCTGAGGCAGAAAACACGATCATGCATAACTCGCCCTGACGTACCAGAAACAGGTACTGTAGTCCGTACACTATGGAGTTCACGGTGAGCACCGGCTTCCAGTCCTCTCGCAGAATGTTGAGGCAGACGTTTGCCCTCCAGGTCAATGTTAGGATGGTAAACCTGCATCAAAGATTGGTCAGCGGAGTCCGTATGATTGGCCAGTGGCGTCCGTATGATTGGTCAGTGGAGTAGGTGTCTTACCAACGACGGCGTTATAGATGCAACAAATTTGGTACATTACATTCAAGTCGGCGATTAAAAAAAAAATGGGCGTGGCGCCCCATTCACACTTGATTATGTTATTCACCGCATGTACTTGACGCTCAGACTTTGTATTTCTGTAATTTGTTTCCACACATATGCGAGCCTGTTGACACCCCGTGGTCGCGATCACATCATTCCACACGTCAAGCTTCATATTTGCTGCGTCTCAGCTCATCTTTGGTGCAGCACAAACAAAATCACATCATCTTGTGGACCACAACGCCAGTAAGACTCGTGCAGCGTGGATCGCGGGATGTGGGTGTTGTCCTTTTGCTATCATATGGATTACACGAACAAGTGATTAATGAAGCCATATGCCTTTGACTACCGAAGACTAGGCTTCATCGATACGTTGGAAAGCCAACATTTCATGACATCCAACAGGTTGAGGTCCACTGATGCCCAAATCCGCGCGCTTATTGATAAGTCGCATTGCTTAACAAACGGTCGGTTGTGAGTCAGGGCAGATCCGGAATTTTTGCCGACGACCGATGCTTTGGCGGCGATCAATGGTTCTTGATATCATCATCACGCGTTGCGAAACACACACGCACGCACGCACAATTTTTCTTTTTGTCTAACTAAAAGATTTTCATCGAATCGAACAGGGTTACACGCCTGTCTCCTGTTCATTACTCTAGCTTAGTCGGATTAGGCAATACACCACAGCGACTTATGTTCCTGGTTGGTTCGATGAAGGTGGTAGGATATCCTCCGGCTTGGGCGTTCTCCGAATGATAACTGGCACACTTATGGCCCAGACAGCTTTAACATACTAATGTGTTATAGTCGCTGCTTTCGGCTACATTATGCAGTCCTCACGTCTTCATTTTCTGCTGTCTGGTGCCGGCATCTGACAGAAATATTTAGAAACGCTCCTCGGCCGGCGAGTCCGTGGCTTGTGCACATCAGAGTGACTGTCTTCATACGCCAGCCCACACTGTTTCCAGTGGGGTGGTCCGCTCTCTTCCCCGGCAGAAGTTGTCCGCCTTGCGTAGCGGCGCCGATGGGTCGTCTAGATCTGGACCCGGTTTTGGTCAATGCCCTTCGCACTCTTCGCCATATGGGACGTTGGCCTTCCTAAAATAACCAACTCCTTTGTCTGAGGCACGAAATATTCCCGACGTTCTGACGATTTTCGCCCCCCCCCCCTTCCTCCTACAGGAACCTACATGTATGCCCGACGGGAATGTCTCTCCCTCGGATTAGCCCCGGAAGGGTGCATAATGCCGTCGCAGTGTCCTGTTTCCACGCGCACGAGAAATTCAAGGTACCTATCACTTGAAGTACAAAATAGCACTGCAATGTTGCTTTCGAAAGCATCCTCTCGATGCAGCGATGTCCGAACCATCCTGGGTGTCTCATTTTCGCGACATCACCTCTCCGCTCTGCCTGTGAACAGCGGCGCCCGGGACATTCCACTGAGTGTGATTTGTATGCTGACTGGTCTAGATACATTGCTGTTACCCTCCGACTGTCCATTTACACGTCAACTATCTCGCTGCTAATATTGTGCCCGCGTTCATCACTGCATTGATGTGTGATGTCCTAGGCATTAAGGCGTTGGTTCATGTTTAACGTGCAGCGTTTTAATGTTCGAGTTTCCGGCCGGAGTTAATTCTATCCTACACTTTCACCATTTGCTCTCATTCTATCTCACATCCATGCCCCACGATGCCTTCTCATGTCATCCATGCCATCACGATTGGTACATTAATGGCAACCGAAAAGCATGGACGCAACAATACGATATATCGGTCATACACCGCTAAATGCGCCACGCATTTAAGCCGGCATCGTTATACGTGGATGCACCAACCGTTCCAATAAACAATGCGCTAGGCCGTGTCAGCATGAGGCCGGACGGTGCCATCGCTGCCAAGACATTGCGCTCGGCGGCGGATCGGCAGAGCGTGGCTGTGAAGCGCAGGCTGGAGCGCCAGCGCGCTGCCAGAAGAGGCCAACTGACCCAGTGGTCATGGTACACGACACAACAGCGTGGCGACCAAGAGGAACTGTGACGCCATCTAAATCGGACTGGGGATATGTCAGCAGCGCGAGAGGCAGAGGCATCGGCTGGATCAAGACATGCATGTGTACGCATGGTGCATTTAACAGGGACACAATGAAAATGCTGTTGTATGCAGCAAGGTGACTTAGACATATCATAATTGGTATAACTCATTTAAGATACTGCTTACCATTGTATCACATTTCACTTTCGGAGGCTCGTGGGGGTAGCTGGGGCCCACCTTGAAGCTGAACACGAAGCGGCCTCCCCTATAATAGCCCTGGAAATAGACGAATAGCAAAGGTGATCGGCGGCGCCAAGTGAAGCGAAACCATAGCTGGGCAGAACGCCAGCTCAGCAGCACATCATACCCAACACTGCCATAAAACCATAGCTGGGCAAAACGCTAGCTCAGCAGCACATCATACCCAACACTACCATAAAACCATAGCTGGGCAAAACGCCAGCTCAGCATACCCAACACTACCATAAAACCATAGCTGGGCAAAACGCCAGCTCAGCATACCCGACACTACCATAAAACAACCGCAATGGTCGTCAGCGTCACGCTGCCACATTCTTTGATGTTTGTCAAGCAGGCAATCCAGCCCAGCAAGGGTCATCAGTAACGAAATGCACAAGCTTCGAATCAGATGAGAAATCACCGGCCTAGGGTTCCGCCGAGCAACGAGGCAAGTCAAAGCAGGCATCTGTTGCTTGAACAATATCACGATGACAGCGCCGCCAGTGAGAAGAAAACCCAGCGCGGCAGGCGCACCAATCGCGGACAGCACAAGCCGACTACTAGCCGACCCGGCGCGAACAAGCTGCCCGCCGGGACGGCCAGCCAGCTCACCTCGTCAGGGCATATGATCAGCTTGAAGTTGAGCAGGTCGTCGGGGTCAGGAAACTCCGTCTGGCACGTCTTCGGAAGGTTTAGCTCATTGATATCTGAAACACAGGCCATCCCGTCGAGCGAACATTTCGGCAACCCGCGCACCCGGACCACGTGGCTGGTGCCGCAGAACCGAGCACCGGCCCGCCAGGATGCGGTCGGCAGAATAATGGCGGCCGCGTCAATGTGTGTTAACGCATTAATGTGCATCTGAAGACATTCCGAACACGCAGAGCTTGTTCAATGTCGACCAACCGAAAACGAAGCCACAAACATACTTTTTGGATCTTAGTCCTTCTTGATGAACTCTGGATATAACTGTCTTTTGAGTCACCACATTTCCAACGTTGCGCGTATTGCATTATTCCCTAACTTTACCATCTTCATCACGCGCTTGCCAGCAGATCTGTGGGGCTCCTGACTGCGGTTGATATTTTGCCATCAACTTTACTCTGGCAGTGTCATGTGCGGCTAGGTCATACCTAGGCAGGTGAAAGAAGGCACTAATTTTCGCCCATGTCGTCGCGAATGGCTGCGACGCCAGGACCAAATCCTCTCAGCGTTAAGCCCTCTTGGCTGGCCAAAGACTGAAGACTTTTTGTCCACCTGCGGTGTTCAAGAAGCGTTCAAGTTTTCGTGCGGTCCCACAAAATAGCGAGCTAGCTAACCATTGTCTTATGGTCAGGACGACGGATCGCCTCGGACGACGGGGCAGATGTGTTGTGGGCGGGGCAGATGTGTTGCGGTCAAATTTCTCATGCTGCTCGCTTGCATGCTGGCAAGCTGTTTTTCGGTCCTTGAAAGGTACCAGAGAAATTGGACCCAATGTCTTCCGGAGCCTTACTCTCACGTAGGCTAACACACACTTCTCCCATCAGAATGACATGTTTAATACGGCTAAAAGACACAAATGGGCCAGCTTCATGCGGCGTTTATCCGGCTCCGGTTCATTCGCTATCAGTGGGAGTGACACTTGTTTACACTGATATCCTAGTACGATGAGTGCGTTACAAAACACGATGTTGGAATAAACGATGCTTGCACAAGGATGCTTGAAAGCGCACTTGGATACTGCGCTCTCGTATCGTGCACGAGGTCACAAATACAACCAAACAGCGAACACAAAGTGCTATCCTGAAACGGCTGTCGCATCGAACACGTCTGCCCTGCGTAATGCAGTCTCCGTCTTCAAATGAGGCCGAGCGTTCCCAGATCGCGTGTCCTGGTAGGCATACTCACAGTCCTTACTCATACTATGACATACTTGAAGTTCACGATACCTACAGTAAGATCCATGACCATTGAGAAGATATATGTGAAAGGCAATAGACTAGCTCGCTGTTGAATATGTTTATAATCAAACAAATGTTAACAATAAGAGCAGGCTTCAGGTAGGAGTAAAGCAAACTACCTGGCAATGTGCACGCAATTCTGGATCTGCCCCCAGCGGCACACCAAAAAACTGTGTTGTTGTTTTTTGTCACTTGCACTGTGACTGTGGGGCATCCATGGCTCGACCAGCGACCTGCACAGCAGGACACTGACTGTAAAGCCACAATTGAATTTCGCATTCATTCACAATTGTCTGAGGTGTCATATGCGCCTCACTTTGCTAGCGGAGCACAATACCATTTTGAGCCAAATAGTTCAGTGTGTAAGTTTTTCAATCTTTTAGGAACATGTTCAAGTATGTCCTTAGATTCTAAATGCATGTCCATTTTACCAAATTTTGAGCAAATGATTTTGTCTCACTCAAATTTCAGTGAATTATGATTGGGACCAGGATATATGCAGAGGCCCAGCCCAATATTTCTGGGGCCCTGGCCAACAGTGTGGGCCCCTGGTGGGGGCCCAGCCCAACATTGGGGGGCCCAGACCAACATTTAAGGGGCCATCCCCCTCCCAAAGAAACATGAAGACCCCTGGTCCTGCAGTTTCTCTAGAGTGCATGTTTGAAAGTGCCCCAAAGGTAAGGTATTCCCTTTAATTTTAATTTTCAAACTAAACCAAAGGCAGCCCATTTAAAATGTCAGAGCTGAAACTTAAGCCAGCCATTTACAAATGGGGCAAAGCTGAGGCCAACAAGACACCTCATAGTCAAAGCCAAACCTCGAGTCATTAAAGGAAAAATGCAGCCCTGCAAAGCTGAAGCCAAATATAGTTTCATTGTCAGGCCTGCCCATGGCATGTCATAGCATCACATGGCACATACACTCATGCTTGTTCTTTACTTGGTCCATCATCAGCTAAGCTAAAATTATCCTCAGGACATGAAATTCTATGCCTTTTGGTGGTCAGCATGGATGAATGGAACAACCATGTGCTTTTGTGAAATAAATGTAGCACTTGCAATGAACACAAGCACCCACGTTAAGTGCAATCCACTGGTAACATTCAACTTTATGGGTTGGATTAATGTGGTTGACATATCAAAATACACTGGATGGATGGGATGGATGCAACAATGGGCACAGATCTGTTTGTAGTGAGGACAATTGGTCAACCTGTCACAAATTGACTGGCTGAATCATGGGAAGATGACTACATCTCTTCCAGAATGATGAAACTTTTTTTCATCAAGCATGTAGACTTTGACCAGGGGTTATAATGCCAAATTTCCAGGTTGCATGCTGATAAACATAAGCACATTTTCAAAAAAATATACAGACATGAGTGTTCAGTTTTTGTAAGACATACCCAAATACAGCTGACAATTTTGATGGCTACATAATACTGAGCAGAGACAGACCCACACTCACATGTCCTTAAGTTTAAGAGGAGCTGTAATATCATTGCTTTGGAGGCCTACCTTGAGTTCATACAAGCTAAATATTGCAGTACACATTGCTCACACTTGCCAGCCACAAGATGTACACCACCATGCATATATGCATCATCTGTATACCTACAGAGGGTACAGTTGCATAAATGTGCCTGCAGCCTAGAAAAGATCTCAGGGTCTAATCAAAAGATCCCATGAATATAGAGTCCTATGGGATCCTGGAGCTATCCTTAGAATCCAGACACATGCTCAATACAATGGCATTGCATCTTGTGAGTTTGTGTCAAAATCATTGTCATGTGTTTCTTTTTATGGAGGGGATGACCTTGAAGTGCAGGCACAAAGCACACTAAACAAGTACAGCTAGCTGTGCACTCTGTTGCAATAGAAAGGTCTGGCCAAATTCAAACAAAAAATACAACTATTTTCAACAAACAGCAATGCCAACATAAAGTGAGAATGAAATTTACCTGATGATAAGTTGAAAGGCAAAGCAGCCCATGGCAAAAATTATTCCCGCCCTACTTGGAGCACATTCTAGGTTGCCCAATGCATGATGTTAACATCTCTGCCATGGTTTATAACAAGGCCCATAGCATGATATAATGCATAGAAATGTAATATGAGCAGATCCTTGCATTCTCATTAGCTCATGGCTTTCAGGGCATTTCACCTGAATGTAGGCATCCAGATAGTGTCACATTTATAATGCTAAATAATGTAAGCATAAATTATTTATTTTCTGATCACAAAGGTGAAAGGTAGTTAACAGTTAGGTAAAAAAATCATATCATAACAGTTGTTATGAAATTACTTAATGCATAAATATTTAAAAAATGTTAACTTCATGCTAATTTCATGGTCTTTACTATGATATTGAACAGCAAAAGTCTCAGGGAAAAATTACTGAAACCTATTTAGGGTTGTTCAATTACAATCTGAGATCTTGTCATGGCTTAGTCATGCACAATGGGTCATGCAAATTGCAAATGAAGATCAGTTACTGTCTTTTGATTTTCTACTTGCATTGTTTCACCCTAAGTAGCAATGAACATCCAAAAGTGGGTCAATGATAAGGATAAAAAATTATGGCAAATATGCAATCAAAATGTTTGGGACAGACAGAATCCTGCCAAAACACAATTGAGCTGGCTTATTTGTGGAGTTTATGACATTACTTGCCTGAAAACATAATCAATCACCAGATTTGGTCATTTTATAGTCCCACAAACTTTAATCTCATGTAGCTCCTCACAATACTTTTAATATTCAATTACACCACTTCTGCAAAGCTGTCTCAGCTTGGAAGTTGTGCCCCACCTCTGCCCCAAGATCTCATCCAAATCTACCAACATTTGCAAAATGATCAATAGCTGAAAGGTTTCCAGACTCAGTATCCTGGTTTCATACATTATCACAAGAAAGCAGAATGACAGCTCATTAACTGCAAAACTGCCACAAGCCACCCTGACCCATCCACCCACACACTGGGCCTAGCCCAAGTCCTTTATGTATCAATTATTATGGGGAAACCTTCAACCACAATACAGGATCTCAAATGAAAACAGAAATGTCTCACACAGCGAGATGTGCACATCACGATGCCAACCTTTTGTTACTCTGAGCTGAGCAGCCGACAGCCTTTTCGAGCTTGAGGGGGACTGTCCTGTTTCGTCTCTCTTCTGTTGCTTTAGAGAAAACAACTTAATCATGTTGATAGCCGAATTATAAAGGCAGCTTGCAATAACACCAAGGAACGAAAAGCTCGGCTTTAATTTTAAGGATGTTTGCCAGCTCGGGCCGTTACCCCCCACCTCCCTTTCCAGCTCCACCGTCCTCAACCCCTCCACGAAACCACGCTTTACAAAACGCACTGCATAAATGGGGCTGTGCTTCGAGCAATGCATCAAGCCTTCCATAAAGAAACAGGTGTGCTGTGATTTTTGCACGATCAGCTGAGTCCTCAAGCTCAATCGGCTGCTGGGGCATTTTCGCGTTCTCAATGGGTCGTTTATAGACTTAAACTACTGCTTTAATATTTTTATCATTAATTTTCCGTTGCTCATAAATCACTTAATTTTTCAAGAAATAAGGAAGTATCGTATTACCAGCAATTGTATTTCTGAAAAAACTTTCCATTTAGAACCTCAATCATCTGACTCAGGATGCGACATTTAACTTGAGCGTCCTATTAACTGGTCACCAAACATAAACTAAAATAACCAAAACGAGCCTACCTACCAAATTGGATGAATTAGCACCAACATGAACATTTCATCACCGATTCGATTATTGCCACCAATATGGACGTTTTTACCACAGGTTTAACGAAACCGTTAACCGCTACCTATACTTAAGCCAAACTGACATCAACCTGTAAATGTTTTGGGACGCAGATGGCTATCTACAATGGAGTCGCGTTCTAAGAGCGAATCGCTGCCTACCATTGAGTGTCGATACATACCTCAGCATCGGAGACCTCTTTTTCTCGCAAGGCCCTGAGTGATCTTCGGGATCCTCGGCGCAGACTATAAAAGCCCGGTTGGATGGCTCACAGGACTGGTCGGCTGACGCCCTCGAGGCGAAGGCCTGACCCTCAAAGGTCAGTCAACAGGACTCGCTGCGTCTGTCGGGAATCCCCGGGACGACGGACGCGTCCATGTAGGTCCGAGACCACCAATGCTGAGCAGTTGGCTCTGTGTCAGCTTGGACCCTGTGAGCCGTTTACGAAGCAGGGACAAGGCCGGTGTCCGCGTTTGTTACTGAAGGCCTTCTGCGCTGGCCGGGCCCCCGAAACAAGGTGGCTCCCTACATCAAGGCACAGATTGCTTAACAGGGGAGCATGCGCCGGCAAGGGGCTCCTGGTCGACCAGAGTCAGATTTAACTGAAGACGAACAAGACGGGACCCTGAATGTCAGAGAGCCGCTTGCGCTGGTAAAAGTCCTCTTGCCTGAAATGGAATGGTAATAAGAGAAATGGAAATCCATCAATGACAATGGCAATGACAGGATTTTGAGATCAGAACTCACGCAAAGCATGACTGGTGTGTGTGCTCTAAGAACCTTACCTCCTTACAGAACCTCCTGTTGTGATTCAAATTCAACGACAGAACTTTATGAAAAAAGGCTGCACGCATAGTGACGCTTGGCACGGTTCCTTTGCCCTTCGACCTCCCTGACGTTGAACAGCCGCTGCTACCAGCCGCAACCCATCCAAGTCAGAAGTCAAATATTCAGCGCATATAGACGCAGACAAGATCGAGAATGCAGAGTTCCACCGCACCTCACCACCACCCCTTCGTAGTGAGTTCTCACTGGCATGCCCCCCTTCCCCGGTTGATTATCCTGGATGTGCCCTTGCGAGCGCGTGTATAGCGACTTGAACCCCATACGGCCACGGGTGGGTGGGGATCGTCAGGAGCCGACACCAGCTATTTGAGCTACGGAGCATCAAGTTCAAGTTTGATCCCGACGGTGAGGAAGCCGGAATACTGCCATAGATGGGAACAAACCAAGTCGGCGAGAGCTTAAGCTTTCTTCGCAGAAAGTGAACTAGAACAAGAGCATTATGAGGTTGCATGTGTTCCTGCCCTCATCCCCGAGGACTCGTTCCAGACTTAGATGAACATATTCCGGAGTATGTTTTAAGACGAGTCCGGCACCAGAGAAGTGTCATAAATGCCAGTATCTTGATCTATATATATATATATACATATATATATATATATATATATATATATATATATATATATATATATATTTCGGTGCGTTTGCACAATAAAAGTTTTGGGTTTTTTATTCGGCAATTCGGGTGGCAATGGGCGCCAAACAGACGCAGCCGCTACACGATTTAGGGGAAAGGAACAGGCAAGCCGTTACTCGACCTGGATGATCGAAAATCAGAAAAGGGGTAAACAGATCGTCAAGTAAGCTGGATCGTTAGTAATCCAAACAATGCACCGGCAAACTGAATCGCTACACAATTTAGATACTGAAAGATTCTGAACTCGGATGACAAGCAGCAAAATTGAGAGTTTTGGCCGAACTGAAAAGCAGAGTACAAGCCAGGCTCCCTGACAGAGCCCGGGCGACTTGTCTTGCGAAACGTCTCGTCTTGGGCTCGCCTTGAGAGAGCCCAAGTACTTACACTACATGGCGCGGAGAACGGCACGTGGCAGAGAACCAGAATTTTTGTACAAGCCACAATTGCCACCCTTTCGAAACAGGTCGCTGCATAAACCAGTGCCCGGCCCGAGATTGCCACAGGGCGTTAGACGGCGCATTCCGCACCGCTTCGTGGCTGGCTGTACATATCTGAACGGAGAGGCTGATTTTGTTTTTGATGGATGCGCTTTTTGGCATGTGTGATTCGAAGAATGTCGTTCCTTGCATACTATCGAGAGCATTTAAAGATGTCAAGCGTTTCATTACCCGTAGCACACAACACTTTCACATACTGAACAAGATGAGTAACTGGCTGATTGAATGTTAGTTGGACATATAAACAATAAGCTCCCGCCAAAATTAAGCTCCCATTGTGTAGATATAAAGTACCCGCTACACACCCGCGAAATGTCACGTCATCGAAAACGCCATGTCGCGTTGAGATGATCAGGGCGCAAACAAACAGGCACCGTCGCGGCGTGCACCTGCTGACAAGCTGCAGCTGACCGACGGAACCAACGCAGCCAGGCCACGTCGCCGTTACTCGCAGCAGAGTATCGCGCAATGCTCCCGGAGGCAGACGGGCCGAAGCACAAGCCGGCCCGGTCCGCGCAGCCCATGAGCCCGATGGTCCCCCATCAGCCGAGATCTGGTCTGAGTCAGCGGCCGGCCTGGCCTCGTCGCTCCGATGGCGGAGCTGGGCCACACCGGTCGCCCAGCCGTGCTGACCACATGGGGTCAGCAGCGCTCGGCGGCCGGCGGTGGCGCCCCCTGCGCTACGGCTCCGGCTCGGGCAGCGGACGCCTCTCAACCGGCGTCCCGCCGCCGTGGCGGTCGTCCCGGACGGCGCGCGGGCGCGGCGCCGGCGCCGTGCCGTCGCTCTCGTCCTTGACGGTGGCGCTGAGCGGAGTGGCGACGCGCCGAATGCGGCCTCCGACTGGCTCGCAGGGCACCATGTGCACCGACGGCAGGTAGCGCACCACCTTCTCCACCTGGCGCGGCGAAGCGTGGAACCAGTACAGACGCAGTGGTCCGGCGCGCCCACCTGGAGCGCCATGGAGTCCACCGACTGGTCGATGAAGAAGTAGAGTGTGGAGAGTCTGACGATATGCAGCCCTTGCCGACCTTGTGCAGGCAGGAGGGGTGGGGCGGGCACGAGTGCACGCGTGTCTCGTCTGGGTGCAGCGTCAGGCACGCCACAATTTCCGGCAGACGCTCGTACAGCACTAACTGATTCGGGTCCACGTGCACCGGCTAGCCGGTGGCCTCGCGCAGGCGACGGAACACGTGCTCGCAGCCGTAGCGCGTGCGGCAGCCAAGATTGGCGCGGTGGCGCGGGTCGTGCGCTAGCCACTCGTGCACCAGTCGCACCACTGACGGCGAATCGCTGAAGGTCGGGCAGATTGTGACGATCCGGCATGCGGAAGGTCGTGTTGGCGCGCAGCAGGTCGACCTGCCTCGGTCGGCCGGCGGCTCCGGGTGTGATGGGGGTCTGACTGGGTCCTTTTTTCGGATGGCGTAGGCCAATGACCTGTTTCGGGCAGCAAACGCTGACCGGAGTGTCCTCGCCACCCTGGCCTCCGCCCAAGCCTGGTGTTTGGCCCTTCTCTGTCAGCGGCGTTTTGATAGAGCTGAGGCGGATTCTTTCGCACTGATCGATACTAATGTCTCCGTCTGTAACCTGCGGCCAACCTTACGAAATCGTGATATTCATGACGGAACATAAACAAGATTCCCACATATGTCCAGCTAAAAATTACGGTTTTATCATTCCTATCTTGTTGGGAGAACGGACAGACTAATCATGCACGAAATCATGATATTCATAACCGAGCATGGACAAATTTCTTAAGTATGTTAAAAAAATTAGGGTTTTACAATTCCTATCTGTGTTGGGAGAACGAACTGGTTTGTGATAGAAGGGTGACAAGCTGTTGCTCTAATGATTACGATTTTAGTCATTGTGAAGACTGGTTCATGCTCTTCCACTTGTATTCGGAGGCTTTAGCCCTGATGGCTGATCGGTTTACTTTTCACATATTTTAACTAGCACCATTAGTGATGGTTAAGCCTTCTGGGGAAAAACTACCCGTTTGAGCTTGTTGGTTCAGTTGGTGATCAGGGTGCGTATTTTGGTAATGGGAGTAGCCATTCTGGCTGGACAATTAATTTTGTCCCTTTAACGCGACGCACTGGGTTTGATCTTTACGCGCCACCGCCTCACCTGCGTCGCTCTGGCAGCATTTATTTGTGTACCCAACTACGCATTGTTTTGGTGTGACTGTTGCGGTATGTGTGGATTTCCATAATTTTCTCAGACAATAAGGATATAACGTTGGAGGCTCATGTTTTGTTTGGACACTGCTACACGTAAAGGTACTCCTTGTTGCGCGGTATAACCGAATTATACAGAACACCCCAGCGTCGGTGCAACAGTGCTGCATCAGTTTAAGATATTGTGTCCGTCAAGACCCTGGCGAAATTGGGTGACGAAAGGTGAGATTAAACGACTGCTTATTAGCCGCTCATGTATTTTGACATTACTTAAGCATAATGATTATGACATTGTAGAAGTGTGTTAAATAGTGCAAGCTTGAATGTTCATGTGTGTGTTGAAAGCATATGGGATGTGGATGTGTACATACAAGTTAATTATGAACTTCCTAAGCTATAGTAAAACTTTCTGCAAGTGATGAGACATGGTCAGATTAACCAAGCAGCATCAGGTGACAGCTCGCTAGTTTTTGCACTGTACACTGTGCACTGTTTGTGTGCACTGTTTGTGCACTTCTGACAGCTAGCTAGTTTGTGTTCAGTGCATTGTAGCTAGCTAGCCCTCTAGGATTTTCAGGCTTCTATTTTAAATTCCCAGTTTTGAAATCTATATGTATCATCAACATGTCACATCATTCACAGTCATTGCACATCACTTGCTTAATGCCATGTGCAGAATATTTGGTCAGGGTGTACTTTCCTACCTAATGTTAGAAAAAAAACATTGTACACCATTTGTCGTGTTTAAGGCAGGACATACCGTAAATAATCACTAAACAGGTGGATTCATGCTCTTACCTTCAAATTTTTTTATAATTATGATGGCGAGCTCCCGAGCGCCGCACACACACACACAGCACCCGCGACACCAGCGGGGTCACAACATTACTGCCAGCATTAAGAACCATAAAAATGTAAGGGGGTGGAGGTAGCAAGAATCCATGAAATTTGATCCCCCTTCAGCACTTATATAGCCTCTGCAGTGACTGTTGCTCCATGAGGGATGCAAACAGTATGTATGATGGAAGTGAACAATGCTGTACCCATTTCTAGATTACATGGCAGAGCCAAAAGGTTCCTTGGGCATTTCTGAGGTGCCTGCATAGGCCTGTGTTTGAAGTGGTTTGCATTGCTCTGGCTGAGTTGTAGGATTGGTTTCCATTCATTTTTTACAGGTACTTCCAGCATGGACAATGTCTTCATTCCATTCTCAGCACCAGGTCTTCCTCAAGGGTCAAAACTTTCAACATACTTAACAGTAAGTTAACTGGCAGCTTCAAATACCGCAAAACAGTTTCTCCACTTCATTCTCAGCACCAGGCCCTTAAGGGTCAAAACCTTAATGGATTTTGACAGTAGGTCAGCTGATGATGGTTGGTGATATTTATGGGAAGTATTTTCTAGGTACTAGAGCTGTTATTAAAACAGGGTTTCATTGTGGTGTAGGGGCATGGTGATGAGACATGAATTATGTTCCCATTTGCTTCCATCACTGAACAGGCTCTGAATGTATCTGTTATGACACTCAGTTTCTTTTCATATCAGGCTGCCAAGCATTTAACGGTGTCTATGTCAGCACCAACGACTTAACTGCACCTTGGTACCAAGCTGCCCCTGATGGCATATGACTGCGACCCCAGTGCCGGGCCGACGCTGACCGGCCTCCGCGCCAGCAGAGTCGCGTCTCGGAGCCAGCAGAGGTGAGCAGCGTTATGGCCGGGCTCAGCCTGGCCTCCGGCTCTTCACCGGCGGGCAAGGCGGGCGGGGCGCGCGCGCTGGCGGCGCGCGCCTTCACGCCCGAAGCCGTCGCCAATGGCTCACCGCCGGACGCCGCCGGCGCCACTCTGGACGAGTCCTCGTCCGACCCCACGCCGCTGTTTGAGGTCAGAGACTCGGGCAGCGTCACTGCTGTGCGGTCTGAACCCCACACTGGAGCCAGGCTCGGTGACGAGCGTCAATGGACGCGCATTTCCATCTGTATTGAAGTGTGTGATATGTGGTCCGCTGCTTGGCAATGACATCTGTTCGTAATGCACATGCCCACGTGTTTGGCCAGGCCACACTGTCCGAGATCGCCGTGGCAGTCATCTGGTCGAGTGCCGTGTGGCAGCCGCGTTGACGCGCGCCACCTGCAGGAGAACGTGGGCGGCACGACCTACTACTTCACGGCTGAGGACGCGGCCGCCCAGAAGTCGGCCGAGCCGCCGACGGTGACGCCGCCGTACACGGCATACGTGGCCACGCCGCCGCGCGTCGCCGACGCCAAGAGCGCCGCAGCCGCCGCCACCCACCCGGCCAGCTTCTTCGTCAGCGACGAGCTGCGCGAGCTGATCCTGCGCCAGCAGAACCTGCTGCTCATGCACCCCAACCCGCAAGCGTACCCGGGTCAGTGGCGCGCCGCCGGTGGCCCGCTCACCGCTGCCTAGCGTCGAGGGAAGGAGCGTGTCTAGGTGTAACCAGGCGCTGTGGTGGCCATCCACATGCTGCGATTGATTCGGTTACTCAGCTTGTCAGTTTTAGACCAGTGGATGTAGCTGGAATGTTTTGTCAGTTTTAAACCAGTAGCCATAGTTGGCATGTTTTGCGCTGCAGTCTGTGGCTGCCACACATTGTGTTACTGCATCACCTGGCAGGTGTGTGATATGATTGATATTGTTTTAACGTATCCGAGCGTCATATGGTGCCGTCGTACTTCTGCCAATAGACACTTCATTTTTCCATTTTTTTCTGATCTAGTAAATATTAATCGTCGTGCCTATTTCATTTGCCTGTTTTACGTAGCAAAGCAACTTGTCTGCCAATTTGTACATGAAAGTGCAGATCTTGGCAATAACATTCGGGAATCACGTGGGTCAAATGGAGCCTCATTTGCATTATTGACGCTTGCAAATTAACGTCAAATAGCGAAGCTGTGTGGCTATTCAGCTGACGCCCTACGTCTGCGCGATGTCCAGATCTGCCGAACGAGGTGGACAACTATCACGAGCTGTGTCCCCTGGAGGCGCCTGGCCAGCCCCACAAGTCCACCGCGTTCGGCTACATCACCACCTGTTACAAGGCCACCAACATGAAGAGCGGACAGTGCTACTGCCTGCGACGGATACATGGTAGTGTGCCAGTTTCACGGCCTGGTTCCCTTCAAATACCTATTTGTATTACTTTACCTTGTCACTACACCCACCCAGTTACTTTTGGATGAACCTCATACTCTTGTGGGACTAAGTTTTGACTACCAGATTATGACTAGAAAGCATTAAGTTCGTGGCCCGCAAAAACGAGCTGTCACTCACGGACGGAACCTTGTGAATGAACTGTGTCCGCTATGACCCGTGAGCTTATCCACCCTGCCGTGATGATGCGGGGCTGCGTCGGCGATCCTCGCCGCGTCTGCCACCGTACATAATGACATTATGTTGCATCTGTAATAGCGTGAACTGGGGGTGTATGCTGCTATGAATAATGACATCATGTTTCACCGGTAATGGCTGGAATTCACGCATCCATGCCCACATGTGCATATAGCATAGATGTGTGCATGTGACGAATGTGCGGCAGCGTTGGCACATGGCTGACGTGTGCCTGCTGTAGGGCTGCGGCTGGCCGGCACCAAGTGTCTGCAGCTGGTCGCGCTCTGGAGCAAATTACAACATGCTGGTCTGGTCACATTGCGTGAGCTCTTCACCACCAAGAGCTTCGGCGACAATTGTGAGTTGACTCGCCCTTTGGTGAAATGTGATCTGTTTTGCTGACAAAGCTCTTTATATGTGTTGGCAAATTCATGACCTGGGCTCGTTGCTTGGTTACAAATGGATGTGTGTGGTAAATGCGTCTGGTGTGGTTTGTCTCAATCAGATGTTGAAGAGGATGTAGTTACCACTATGCAATCAAAAACACACAATGCTGGACGTGAAGTGAATGGGGTGCGGGAACCGAACAGAGCTGTGTGAGTTGGTAGGGGGTCGGGGACACGGTCCTCTCCACAGCCATGTGGGAATGAGCAGCTCCTCGACGGCAACTGAGAGTTATTAACACTCATTGGTGTGAGTTTCAGATGTACCAATATTGGTGCAAGATGTATTGGTATTGGCGTTGGGAGTGCAATTGTCAGTGCCATATGTGCCTCTGTGGATACCAGATGTACCAGTGTTGGTGTGAGATGCGCCAGTGTTGGTATCAGATGTGGTAGTGTCGACACCAGATGTGTCAGTGTGGGTACTAAATGTCCCAGTGTCGGTGCCAGATGTACCAGTGTCTGTACCAGATGTGCCAGTGATGGTACCAGATATGCCAATGTCAGCACCAGATATGCCAATGTCAGCACCAGATGTGCCAGATTCAGTACTAGATGTGCCAGTGTCGGTGCCAGATGTGCCAGTGTTGGTACCTTATGTGCCGGTGTTGTAATCAGATGTGCCAGTGTTGGTACTAGATATACCAGTGTTGGTACCAGATGTGCCAGTGTTGGTTCCGGGTGCGCCAGTGTCGGTGCAGTATGTGCCATTGTCAGCACCATATGCACCAGTGTCTGTACCAGATTTGCCAGTGAGGCCAGCGCCAACGCTGACACCAGCCCGCCTTCCCGAATTCCCGGCAGCCGTGGTAATGGTGTACGACTTCCTGCCGAGCGCCGAGACATTGATGGCGCGCCACTTCAGCCAGCCGCCGCAGCTGAACGGGTTCCTGGACCCGTTCCAGGACCCGAGCATACCGCGGCCGTACAGTGCCCAGAAGAACGCCGTCCTCCGCCAACAGAGCTGTGCGTGGTCCTGGCTTTTCCGTGTGTCCACTGGCTCAGAATCGCTTACCGCGGCAATAGATACACCGAGCTCGGGTGAACGCGCGGGGTGAATATGGAAAGTTGGCGCTATTCAGTTGATGAAAAGAGCAATATTCGTGGGCGGAACGGGGTCATATGGCTCGCTACACAAAACCTTTGAGCTTTGTTCCTCTCATTGTCGAGCGGCTTAATGTTCAACTTAATTTATGAAGCCGATGACCTCTGGCAGTGTGGGCATATGGCACATAGCTGGTCAGAAACCGTGTCTGAGCGACTGCGCCGTTGTGTGTGACGCGCGGCGCTAGCTCCGCCGGCGGCGCGCGCGCGCGCCTGGATGGCCGGCGAGCGCTGGCACTGGTGCCGCGCTTCATCAGCTGAGCGGCCTCCCTGTCGGCACCGACAGCGCTGATGCCCGAGTCGCTGATCTGGAGCTACGTCATCCAGCTGACGGGCGCGCTGCGGCTGGTGCACGGCAGCGGGCTGGCCTGTCGCGTGCTCGACCCCACCAAGGTCCTCGTCACCGGTGAGTGCCGGCCCGGCGGCGCGCCGCGTCACCGCCGGCGGACGCGCGTCGACACTCCGACCTGGATCGGCGTGTTGGCGTGTGCGGCTGTCATGGTGCCGGGACGAATGCCGTCGGCCGGGGTCTTCTCTCGGGAAAAGGATTGCAGAGCTTGTGGTGTGTTAGTGACCTATCAGGGTAGGTCTCAATTCATAGGGAGATTTTTGCCATGTTCGTGGAGTTCAAGGTATTGTTTTTGCCGATGTATTGCTCTTTGCTGCATATTTTCAAAGCGGTTGTGCTTCTTCTGGCTCACACGGTATATTCCTATTTGTCTGCCGTCCCCGTGCGATGCAATATCTTGGCGATGTTTTAGCTCCATCACAAAAGCCATGAAAGCCCGGCGTCATCACCATGCACCAGCGTTACTGTAGCCCTCGAGCACATGTGTACAGCGCAATAAGAAGGCGGTGCTGCAAAACTGTCAATGTTTCCAAACACCGAATATATCGCGCCGGGTTGTATTGTGTGCGTTTGCTCAGGTGGAATGCTATGTTGGCAGGTCAGGATCGTGTGCACGTGAATTGTTGCGGCGTACTGGACGTGCTCATGTTCGACAACAATGCGTCCAACCCGCTGGCAATGGTGCCTCACTACCAGGTGAGTGGCGAGCCGTTCTTGTGTGCTCATTGTGTACTCTACCCGAAAGTCGCGTGTGGAATTAGAACTACTGGATATATGCGTGCGTGGGAAAGGTTTTGAAAAATCTGTTGAGGAATGAGGGACTAATCGACGTGGTTACTGGTGTCATTAGAGTTGGAAACTGCATTTTGGCGATGATGCCCGTTGTCATTTGTGCAACCTGTCGAACTGTGCTCCTGTTTTCCTCTGGAGCTGGTGTTTTGAGTGTATTCTGTTGTGGCGTGGTGACGGTATTGCAGTGAATATTTATCGGTCTAGGAACAGCTGTTTTGACGTGATCCCCAAACATCAGAGCTGACGTCCGTTCCGCACTCGCAGCAGGAGGATCTGGTGGGCCTGGGGAAGCTGCTGCTGGCGCTCTCCTGCAACTCTGTGCTGGCCGTGCAGCGGGAGAACTTCAACACCAGCATCAGCATAGTCGAGCGTCACTACTCGGCCGACCTCAAGGCACTCATCATGAGGTCGGACGACGCCGAGACGCTGCGGGGCGCCGACTGCTGCCGTATTAGCCGTCTTTGATACCCTCCCCTGCCGGGGTATCCGTCCACTGTCGCTCGCGTGCTGTGTTGGCTGTCGTCCGTAACGGTCCTTGCCCTCGATCCCCCGCCCTCGGTGCCCGCCTTCGGTCCCCGCCCTCGATCCCCCGCCCTCGGTGCCCGCCCTCGGTCCCCCGCCCTCGGTCCCCCGCCCTCGGTGCCCGCCTTCGGTCCCCGCCCTCGATCCCCCGCCCTCGGTGCCCGCCCTGGGTGCCCGCCCTCGGTCCCCCGCCCTCGGTGCCCGCCCTCGGTGCCCGCCCTCGGTCCCCCGCCTTCGGTTCCCGCCCTCGATCCCCCGCCCTCGGTCTCCGCCCTCGGTGCCCGCCCTCGGTCCCCCGCCCTCGGTCCCCCGCCCTCGGTGCCCGCCTTCGGTCCCCGCCCTCGATCCCCCGCCCTCGTTGCCCGCCCTGGATGCCCGCCCTCGGTCTCCGCCCTCGGTGCCCGCCCTCGGTCCCCCGCCCTCGGTCCCCCGCCCTCGGTGCCCGCCCTGGTGCCCGCCCTCGGTCTCCGCCCTCGGTGCCCGCCCTCGGTGCCCGCCTTCGGTCCCCGCCCTCGATCCCCCGCCCTCGTTGCCCGCCCTGGGTGCCCGCCCTCGATCCCCGCCCTCGTTGCCCGCCCTGGGTGCCCGCCCTCGATCCCCCGCCCTCGGTCCCCCGCCCTCGGTCCCCCGCCCTCGGTCCCCCGCCCTCGGTCCCCCGCCCTCGGTGCCCGCCCTCGGTCCCGCCCTCGGTCCCCGCCCTCGGTCCCCCGCCCTCGGTCCCCGCCCTCGGTCCCCCGCCCTCGGTCCCCCGCCCTCGATCCCCCGCCCTCGGTCCCCCGCCCTCGGTCCCCGCCCTCGTTCCCCCGCCCTCGTTCCCCCGCCCTCGGTCCCCCGCCCTCGGTCCCCCGCCCTCGGTCCCCCGCCCTCGGTCCCCGCCCTCGGTCCCCCGCCCTCGGTCTCCCGCCCTCGGTCCCCCGCCCTCGGTCCTCCGCTGTCGGCCGGCGGCCGGCGCTGTGACAGTGGCCTGTTGCTGTGTCTCCAGCGCTTACTGCTGCTCTATGAGCCGTCTGGTACCTACTGCTGTTCATCCGGTGCAACCTCCTGCCATGTGTCTGCCATCTGCTGCAGTGCGCTCTCGTCTCTGTTGTGACGGTATCCTCTATATCCGCCTTCCGGTACTGGCAGCCCGCTGGCATGTCTGCCGTGCATCAGCGTCCGTGTCTCCTCCGCCGACAGTCTGCTGATGTCGCCGTCGTCTGTCCCTGCTGTCGTGTCTGCTGTTGTCACCATCGGCTGTCCCTGCTGGCGTGTCTGCCGTGCATCAGCGTCCGTGTCTCCTCCGCCGACAGTCTTCTGCTGTCACCATCGGCTGTCCCTGCTGTCGTGTCTGCCGTGCATCAGTGTCCGTGTCTCCTCCGCCGACAGTCTTCTGCTGTCACCGTCGGCTGTCCCTGCTGTCGTGTCTGCCGTGCATCAGTGTCCGTGTCTCCTCCGCCGACAGTCTGCTGCTGTCACCATCGGCTGTCCCTGCTGTCGTGTCTGCCGTGCATCAGTGTCCGTGTCTCCTCCGCCGACAGTCTGCTGCTGTCACCATCGGCTGTCCCTGCTGTCGTGTCTGCCGTGCATCAGTGTCCGTGTCTCCTCCGCCGACAGTCTGCTGCTGTCACCATCGGCTGTCCCTGCTGGCGTGTCTGCCGTGTACCAGCGTCGGTGTCTCCTCCGCCGACAGTCTGCTGTTGTCACCATCGTCTGTCCCTGCTGGCGTGTCTGCCGTGCATCAGCGTCCGTGTATTCTCCGCCGACAGTCTGCTGCTGTCGCCGTCGGCGGGCCGCCAGCGCAGCATCGAGGACGTGATGCCGATGATTGGCGCCCGGTTCTACACGCAGCTGGACTCGGCCCACTTGCTGGCGGAGCGGCTTGAGGACGAGCTGGCCAAGGAGGTGCAGAACGGCCGCCTCTTCCGGCTGCTGGCCAAGCTGTCCGCTATCACCGAGCGGCCCGAGTGAGTACTACGTGCCCGTGGAAGGAGACTGCTGTGCCAGAAGTAGGAAATTCGTTTGTAGAATCCTGGACCTGTTGACCTGCGCAGAGTTTGGCCATGACACTGGTGATGGGGTGTCGCTTCGCCATGGAATAAGCTGAGGAGATGCCAACGCTGTGTTCTCCGGCGCGCTGTACTGATGCAGTATCTAGAGTCTTATCACGAGAGTGCTCGCGACAGTGGGAATCCTCGGGAATGCCCGCGAAAATCGTGCTGTAATGGCAAGACCTTCTTTCCACGCCACTATCCACTCACTCTGGATGTGGTTTTCTCTCTGAATAAACGGAGCTGACACCTGACCACGTGTATCCTCACACTGAACGTCGACTGTCACGGGACCACTGTCCGCCTGGGAGCCCGTCCCCCGGACCTGGACCTGGGTGTCGCTGACGCCTGCCGCCGCCTACGACCCCAGGCTGAACCTGGAGGGCGCCTGGGCGGAGACGGGCGACCGCTACATGCTGAAGCTGTTCCGGGACTACGTGTTCCACGCGGTGACGGACGACGGCCGCCCGTTCATGGACATGGCTCATGTGGTCCAGTGTCTGAACAAGCTGGACGCTGGCTCCTCTGACAAGGTTGGTCGGCTCGGGACTGGAGTTGCGAGTGGTGCCGTGTCGTCGGGAGAGCTCAGGCGGGGACTGGGCTGGAGTGTGGACTGGCAAGCAAGTCTGAGGCACGGTACCAAGCCAGCCCGTCTTCAGGAAGGCCAGTTGGCAAGTTCGCGGAGTAAGTGTGCGCGGGTACCGCCCTGGACGCGATCACCGTAGAAAGGGCTCTTGACTGGCTGGACGGTTGGACGGCTGTTGTCCCTGAGTGAAGCGTGCCCTGGGTAGATGCGTCGGTGAGCGCACGGTTTTGGTCAGTCACTTCACACCTAGTGCCCATGAACGAGGTTCACGTGCTGGGATATGCCATTTGGATACGCCAGTGTGTGTGACGCTAATGCAAATGACATGAAGGCAGATCGTTAGCTTTCTTACATTGGCTCATACCCTGGCGCTTACGTTGCCTGCCAAACACGCAACGAATGTCGGAGGACTGGGTGTTGGATGGCTTTTTCATTTCTTGATGTGCTTTGGGGCTCATGGCGAGGGGTGTGTGCACTTTAGGATACAGAACCTACCTTGCAATAAATCCGGCCGCATGTGCAACGATGAGATGCATATTATGGCGGCATGCATGCTGATGCTGGCTATAACTGATTGTGTGATATCCTCACATCCATCCCGTTCCCCATGTCCAACCCCAAACCACAGTTATGTAAATTTGTTTGCACGTAAAGAGTGTAGAGAGAGAGAGAAGATTGATTACAAAGATTGCAGAGAGACTACCTCCATTAACGTTCGACCGTGGACCTCAGCTAGAACATCACCGGGCTAGCACCCTTTAGGCCAATCCAGCATTGCATTCGTTCTTAGAACAGCTCTTGTTGAAGCTTTTACGGCCGAATACGGGTTAGAATCAATAGAGCTATTAGGCGGGGGTGTTCCACTCCGTCGTAATGTCTGATTACAGCAGTGTAGAGGGGAACAAGGGTGAATATTTGAACTTTTAGTGCATAAAACATCTGCACCTGGATGGATATGGTCTTTTTTATTCTGACTACTATGACGATCGTGGTGTGACCCGCTAGAACGATCTCAGACCTTGTTCTCTGTTTGCTGTAATGCTACATGAGACCCTATGTTTGTACTGACAGCCAGACTGGCCTTTGTGAGCTGTCCCGGTACCGCAGGCCGAGGGAAGGCCCCTGCTCACTCCCGTTTGTCGCCGTCTGTCCTGGTGCTGGAGGCCGGCTGCGGCCGGCCCCGGCTCACTCCCGTCTCCCGCCGTCTGTCCCGGTACCGGAGGCCAGCTCCGGCTCACTCCCGTCTGTCGCCGTCTGTCGCCAGATCTGCCTCATGTCGCGCGACATGCAGAACGTGCTGGTGGCCACGTTCGCCGAGCTGAAGCAGTGTTTCCAGCGCTCCTTCCACGAGATCTTCGAGTCGACCATGGCCAAGGAGTCTGGTGGCTCCTAGTCGCGCGAGTACCCCGGCGGGCTGCCTCTCTGCGCGCTCGGCGTGGGTGCTCCGCCGGTCCGTGGTATGGCCATGGTCCCGGCCCGTCTGGGTTCGCCGCCGGCGAAGGTGCCGTGCTGGGCTCACTGGTGTGGTTCTTGGTCACATGTGAGGCGCAGACTTGTGCTGGGACGGCCGGAGATGACGTGCTGAGGTCTGCAGGGGCCACAGGCATCTTGCTGGGTCACAGTGAAGACTGTGCTGGTCAAGGGCATCGTGCTGGGTCACTGGGGTCCAGGTTTAGTGACCTACCGTGACCCACAAGATGGTCCGTTGACCCGCTGTGTCGGAACGCCAGCAGGCCCTGTCGCGCGCGGCTGTGTTGGCGGGGCTAGCGGCCCTGCGCCGGTCCGTGCTGTACAGATTCTCCGGTTGTCCGCCAGATGTCAGGCCGGTAGCACGTCCGTTGCGGGACGGCTCACGTCAGGCGCGCGGAGAAGGGCGCCAGGCCCGTCCGTCCCGCCCTGCTGGCTGTGTGGCGTCGCCATGTTGGGGGGGGGGGGGGGTTACGGAGGGGAGCCGGATGTGACTTCGGGAACGTCCGAGGTCTTCTCGGAAATGGGGATGGGCGGGGAGGGCGGAGGCTCCGTCCCCTGGAAGGCGAGGTCTCCGTGCCCTGAAGAGCGAGGCCCCCGTTCCCTGAAGAGCGAGGCCTCCATCCCCTGGAGAGCAAGGCCTCCGTCCACTGGAGAGCAAGGCCTCCGTCCCCTGGAAGGCGAGGCCTCCGTTCCCTGGAGGGCCGAGACTTCCGTCTTCAGGAGGGCGAGGCCTCTGTCCTTTGGAGGGCAAGGCCCCCGTCCTCTGGAGGACGAGGCCTCCGTCCGCGGGAGGGCGAAACCCCCCTCCCCAGGACAAACATCACGTCTTTCCTGTAACAGCATTTTAACGTGGTGGACTCGTGGGATCAGCGGACAATCAATAACGGCAGGGGCTCTTAACTGTTAACCCATCGTTCTTGGGCTGCGCGAGATTGTTCAACACTCTGTGCTCAATTCGTCTAAAGTTAAGACTTCAGTTGAGTTGAGGCGGTCCAAAGCTCATCGGGTGGAGCACAATTTCGGAACCAATCTTAAGAGTAGAGATTCACTTCACGGGATGGGAAGCTGTCGGATCATCAATCATACACCGTATTTGGTGAGATTTTCTGAGAGTGATGCAGCCCAGGTGAGGCTAATACAAAGGAGCATCTAAATCATGTCGCACTAATGCATGCCGTCTGACTTTTTCAGTTTGATCTGAAGCGTTCATGTATAATTCCGCCGTAGTTTCTCTGTAGGGAACAGCGCAATCTTTGTCGTACTTATTTTGAGTGCCCGGACAATCGGTCAATATTGGGCACGTGCTTTATCTATGCCAAGCGCGAGTCGGCGTTTTCTGTTGCCAAATACTGTCGTGCACATGCTTTTAGATAAGTTTTTGTTCTTAACACCGAAGTTGAAGCTACTTGATTTGGTTCCTCCTCGCGCGGTTGATCGCAATTTATTGCTTTGACAAATGTGATGCAATTAAACCATACGGCACACCTGAATGCAGCAGGAGCCTCACATAATTTGCAGAGTTGCTTTTATCTTGGCTTTGCAGACTCCAAGCCTATGAAATGGCCTTTGTGACCGGAGACAAAATTTTGAGCGGCGGTTCGTGCGTGAAAGCGTGTGTTGTCTCCTTCTTTTTTGACTGGAGATGACGGCCTTGCTCTAACACAACGCGAAAGGTCGCGACCGTTCAGCGCCAAAGTGTCCACCGGCCCGTTCATTCGCAGTATTTGTCGTTTAAGAGTCAGGCTTTTGTGCATAATATTTAGCCTGCCTCAGGCAAGCGTGACATAGATCGTTAGAAACGCCATTTCTCCATAACTGTCACAGTTCCTCTTTTTTGTAAACGGCACACCGTTCAAATCTGGCTCAAGGCTTTTGTTGTTCCCGAGACATGCAGTTTGGATAGGTCATAGGATGTACAAGGCTGAGCTTTATTGGCTTGTTTTGTAACTAATCTGTAGTTCTTCTCAAATGGAATTTAATGTATGGCTAACCGTATATATGTCATGCATAATATATCGGTTCGTACTTGACTACTCTCAGCCAAAGGGTATGACACAGTCTGATGAGTTGTGTGGTCGACGTGCTATTTGTGAATTAATGATGCTGGTGTTCTTCTTGATAGATTCTTTTGCAAGTTATCTACCCATACTGTAAACTTCGGACCACTTCGTATTTTTGGAGCGCCAAAAATTAACTTAAGCAGCCAGGGCTGAATTGGCTGGCTGCGTCGTTGTGTCGAACATGAGCAGAGAGTGTTGACGGCGACGTGCTGTCGGGGGCGGCGCCTGGGTGCTGCGCTGTGCCAGCGCCTGCCCCGTCCCCGTCCGGTGGGCCCGCTCTTCCTGAGACGTGCCGCGGGCCTGGCCTGCGGTGCGGCGCCTCGTGTCGGGGCGCCCTGTACAAAGACTGGCCGGTCGGCCGCGCCCCGCCCCGCCCCGGCACGCGTCGCCCCAGTACAAAGACGCTGGGCCGCGCGCCCCGGCGAGCTTGTCGCGCGCCTGGCGGCGGGCGCGCGCCGCGACGCCGGCGCCGTCCGAGCTGCGACGGCCGCCACCCTGTGGGCGCCATCGGGTTACGTCGTGCCGGGGGTGGCGATCTGTCAGTGTTTGATATTGGTAGCACTGTATTGTGCGCGTCTGTGTGCTAGTGATGCGTCAGTTTCAGTGGTTTTATCCTGTTGTCGACTGGCCGTAAAGTTCACATTCACGGTTCCACTACATTTTCCAATGATTTATTTACACTAATTATGAAGTTTTATACTATTACGTCGCAGTGGTGTGTGACAAGTGAACCGAATGTGTCTCAAGTTCCAGCCGACTGGGCCTAAAAGTGCTTTTATTTTCCTAGGAAGTGATTTTCTAGGAAAAGACGAGAAAATGCATTGTCATCATGTCGTAAAGCTGACACCATGTGAAACTGTAATAAAAAGAAATAAATTCTTTAAAAGTTGTTCGTCTGTCGTTTTACGAGGACTTCGTGACGTATTTCACTCCAAAGCTCTCCAAACGTTCCTCCAAAGCGAGGCGAAACAAGTGTTATTGCTAAATTTGTGTCTGATTCTACTAATGCCGAGAAACGAAGATATTGTCAGGTTTGTACTTTTTCCAGTTTCTGGTGGAAAAGGCCAAAGCCAAGGAACAAAAACAGGAACTGGTGAAAGTACTGCCGTATTTCATGGTACCAATAAATAGCGCGTGCCGTTCATAGGGTTCACATCAGGACCGAACATGTGGCGAACTATTACATCGCAAAGGGCGAAAGCGTTGCTAAAATTATATGATATGACTTCGGAGAAGATGTCGCAAACACCTACGCATTTCTCCAATTATTTTACGGTGGGACCAATCCCGCAGTTTTGCTTTTGGTGCGGTGTATGTCTCCATTCGTTGTTTGCTGGTAATTTGCCGCATCTGAACAAAGTCCTGCGTATGCCTTTCCGTCACCCGGTTGATTTAGTCGGTGGCACCGGGGCTCGCCATTGTTGCTGCCCTGTGGCCAGTCACACGTGCGCTTGCGGCCTGAGCCATCATACCCAGTTGGGAGCCTTAGCCACGTTACTGCCCCGCCGGGCCGTCATGTGTCGCATTGACAGAGGTAAGGCCCTTGACAGATCCCCGTGTGTCCCATCAGTCCCCGGTGGACAGCCCACATGCTGCTGGCACGGGGTTTTCTGTGAGCAGAGGGCACCGCCTGCGGTGCAGGCCGTGAGAGGGTCACGTCAGCTTATTAATCAAAAGGTTGGCGGACGGCCTCATATTTTGTTGCCGTTTGGGAGCCCTACACCAGTGCTATGAGACGGCCCTTGCCGAGTTCTTTTCGCTCAATCACACGCCATTTTAAAATAATCGCTGTAGTTTGGCCAGTGTTGTTTCCAGTGGATTTGTGATGTTGCTGCTGGTCTCCACAATCTACGGAAATGCACGCGTCCTTATACAGCTTCCTTGAAAAGCTCAGAATGCGGATGAAAGAGTCGACGCTGCCAGCATTGGCTGTATTTCCTAAGCCTAACCGCAGGCACGGTCTTCGATAAGGCGCTGTTCGAGGATCGAGTACAACCTGCTGCCCAAAAAGCCCGCTGGCTTACATTTTCGGTATTTGAACTGCACTATGTGACGCTTTCGAACGTACACGGCGCCGCCATCCCATTATATATTCATGGCGCCACCATCCCATCATAATCCCGATCATAACTAATGCTAAAATTGTGCTGTAGTGTTGTCCGTAGGGTTCCCAGTGTGACCTGTGACGTCGCTAATAGCCTCAGACCAAAGTAGGTCCTGGGCACCGCGGGCTTTTTGTGGGGCACCGGATGCTGGTGTAAAGTGCCGCCATGCTGCCAACGTGGCGGCACTTCATGAGCGAAATGACATTTTATGAGCGTAGGCTGCCCATAAATCAGACGCGTACGAGTGACATCAAACTCCGGACTAAAAGGCTGCCGGGCGACGGTCGGATGTTCGTCTGTTGTTTGATAAAGCTTATTTAACGCCTATCAAACATGCAGTGGTTTATTGTCCTTGCTCGGTTGTAAAAAAAAAGTTGTGAACAGTGCCGTAGTTTCGCCCGTAATGTTTCCATTTTACTTGGAGGGCTGCAGGTGGCCTCCTTAAACTTTTCGGAGTACGTTCTGATCACCGCAGATTCCTTGAAATGTATCGAATGCAGACGTAAAGTACCCGCACGCCGCGAGCATTAGTTTTGTTTTTATAACCTTAGGGCAAATACCCTTCCTTAAATAGGGCGCCACGTGATGGTAATGTCAATCCACTGACCAAAGTGTTGCAGGCAACACGGGCGACATTTTGGTACCGTTCGGGTAGCCCTGTTAGTGCCCACACGACTTCACTTTCCTCGTTCAAAAATTAATCCTTTCATAAGTGCTTCAGTTTCTTCCGAGGTGCTTCCACGTGACGCGTGACGTGAATTATTTGTCTCTTATCGCCGCAAGCTCGTTGTTAGGCACCGAATGCAGGTGTAATTAGCAAACGCGTTGCTAGCAGTGGTTTTTATAAGGATATTTCACCCGCGCGAGCTTCCATAGGACAGCGTGCGAAGACCATACGAACTTCATTTTCTTGCCCGAAAATACATCGTTTAACCATGTCGGAGCGCCGGGCGTTGGAGGCTGAATTCCGCCTCCACTCGTTATCTTGAAACGGTTTGGAGCATGCCTTTTAAATTTGAATTGTACTGAATGTTTTTCTAGGTGTTGTGTCAAAATGTCGGGTACATAGAGTGAGCATTGATGGCTCCAGAACCCGGGTTTCGAGGGACCTCAAGTGAAATTCGGCGGTCATGTCAAGGTGGTGATATTTCCGGAATTATGTATATATATATATATATATATATATATATATATATATATATATATATATATATATATAGTCTACTGCCTCTTGCTTTTACAGACGTAACTGCTTCTTCTGAGTTCCGGTTGATGCGATAAATTTGTAGCATGTGTATGGTTATATGTCCGTTGAGCTGTTACCATCAGCGATTTATTTCGCGACGAGCTCCGATTTTGATGAAAACGCGGCGAAATGATCCATTACGGCTCGAGACCACCAAGTTAGGAATCACGCGACCTCGTAAGGTCAAATGTCGTAGGTCCATCGCACCAAATAGTTGATAGCCGATCTCGGTCTACCGGCTCCAAGTGGTATAGCCGAGGGGGACGTCCCACGGGGCTTAAGTCCCCCCCCCCCCTAGTTAGGTCCGGCGCAGTTTTTCATCCCGACACTTTTGAATATAATTCCGGAACCTTCAGGAAAACCCTGCCGGTTGTAAATTTCGTCGCAACTACCATGGATAGGAAGCAGCGCCCAATATACATAATTATGTAAGGAGACCAGTGGATAGTCGAATGAATGTGTACGGTGCATAGCTGAAACAATTGTCTATGGCACCAGAGCAAACCAATGTCGAAAGCTCATTGATACACTAGGTACCGTATGTATTAACGTTTGTGGGGTATGCTGGTGGGTACCGCAGTGGGTAGGTACTGCCAATGGCCTGGAACTCGCTCGTAAAAATAGTCCCTTCCCGTACCAAAAATCACGGTAGTCCCCCTCAGCCCCAGAACTATACCAGACCTTCAGTGCTATGAGTAGGTAACGTTGGAGGATATCCGCACAGGTGGTGAAGCTGGGGGACGGAAAGCAAACATGTGTGCAGAGGCGCCTCCAGGGATGCAAGTGAGGTGGGTTCATAACACTCAATGCTCTGCATCACAAGTCTTAGTTTATGCAGTCATTCGCGTCTTCCTTCGGCATATCCGATTAACCGTGTTGAAGATCTAAAATTGTGAGCAGAAATATCGAAGTTATCGACCGCGTGGTGTGAGATGTCACGGCACAACTGCTGCCATGAGAATTGCCGGTAAAACTGCTGCGGCACCAGTTCATGTCGCCACTTCTGCGATCAAGACTTTTTCGGGCAATACAAGTACACGGCTCAACCCGAGTCAGCTGATTTTCCATTTTTTAAGGATCGTTAGAGTCCGTGAGCAACCGAGTGTGTACCTTGTTGGATCAGGGTTGGTACTCCACAGGACTGTAGCGAATCTCCTTTCATACGCATTCATCCTTCATGCCCCCATTCCAGACTTCGCTCTCTCCAATATTGGTCATGTGTCCACGTGAATGCTTTGAGGAGTCATGGATGCTGCCCTTTGTTATAACCACCTCTTCGAGCGTTAACAAGAAAGTAAGGTAACTTCTCCAGGCTGTTTCAGCTGTGTACTCCCCGACGCCCAGCTGCTGAGGTCCAATTGCTCGGCAACCTGCTGGTTTCTGGCATCAGCTGACCGCAGTTTGCGATGACCAGTTGCTGCCGGCCGGTGGCAAACTTTCGTGTCTCGATGAGCCTGATCATACGCACCTACTGTGTTGGGCAGTTACTCTGCATGTTGTTGACACCATCCGTCTGAAGCTTAACTTTCTATTAATATCGCATAAACTACGCTATCCACGTTTTCAACGTTATCACAAGATGTGCCTCACAACGCCAAGGATGTGTAAGTAAGATGGCATGTCCTTGATTCAGCTTGCCCGCCTCCTAAGAAATACCGCCGTACCATCCCAGCACGAGTTTACTCGGGACGCACGAGAAAAAATAAACTGATCCGGCCAGGAAATATACGGGATGTTTTCGGACGGCGTTACCTAGCAGCATCCGGACCATTTTTGCGGGGATTGGTCCTTTTTCGATGGGAGGGCAGGGGAATTTTTACTAGATTTATACCCTAGCAGCATGAAATTGCTGGAAGACGTCCAGCACAACGGTGAAGGTAAGGCTAGTGGCCACCAGTGGGCATTTGATTTCATTTACTTTCTTCACGATCATGTGTTGTGTTGGCAAGAACTACGCATGCCTGCATGAATTGTCGATGAAGATACTTTGTAAAAAATAGCTTTGTCAGTCCTGGGTGTCATGGGCTTCGCTATTTAGCAAATCCAAACGGTTAAACAGCAGTAAGTAGTACTTCACCATGTAGTGATGTGGACTGGGCCCATTTTGGTTTTGAGGACGCATTGAACACTAGTCTTACAAAAATGTACGTTCCTTCAATGGGGGTATGCATGTTTTCTCTTTTGAGCCTACAAAAGCTTAAGCATGAGAATGCACCTACTGCTTAAAGCGGAGAGCATGAAACAGAGATGCTTGTGCACATTAGAAGCACTTGCATGAGATGCCTTGATATGTTATTGAAAAGCATGATATAAGATATGCCATTCTTTTAATGTCAACGTATAGTTTCTGCATCCCACGGCTATACCTTGCAATGATATGCAACGTGCTGGGTTGGTAAGTTCAACTGTTCGGGCTTCAAGCTTGTTCATGCGTCAAGAAATATGTAGTCAGGGGGTGCCCTCATGTAATTGATTTGCGTAGCAACTAGAGATAACCGAGTAAAACTATTCTTCGAATTGAGATAATTCTACTTAAATTGTCGTGTATTGGAAACAAACTATGCTTGGCAAAGGTTCTGGCCCCAAAAGTTACATCTTGAATCTACCAACCACACAGTTAAGCCCCGGAAGCATATGATACGGTTACCCTAAATGGTTCATGATGTGGAAGCCTGTATCGTTGCTAGGCAACTCGACTGTAAGCCAACTAACTGTTGTACGATGGCGCATGAATGTCTCGGACGTGTTGAGATTGCTGCATAGGCGATCTTTGTGATGTCATCGATATGTGTGCAATGGCGGATTAAAGGTTTCGTGAAGGGAGGGAAAGGCACAACATTGTGGGCCCACTAGAGTTTGTGGCTCCTCAAAAAAATATCATCGCACTCCGGCCATTAAATTTAAAGATTCTTATAATACTGTTTACTGCGTGGGAGCCCATCTTCCTGTGCGGGGCCAAAGAAAGCTAGATGGCGCCAGGCATGTACATGCATTAAATATGGTCATTTTCTCCAGATTACAGCAGATCCTGCCATTTTGAGATTCAGTATACGTATATATATATATATATATATATATATATATATATATATATATATATATATGACAACATCTATTAAGTTAGTTAAGTTATTAAGTGACAAAGCGAAGTGACATATACGACGTCGGTGGCGTATACAATTATGTTCGGCAATTGCGCGTAAAAATTCATCGGTAAGTACCCGAGTGCTGCTTTAAAGCCAAGATGCCAAAGGAAATAGTCATCATGTAGATCTTGGACTTTTGGACATGAAGGGCTTTAGTCACGCCCGTATAAACGAGCAGGCGTAACGTCCTGGCGCTCACAAGCACATGTTGGGCTTTCGGCGACAAGGATCCTTCTTCCTTAGGGACCTTAGAGGTCACGATCAACGAAGAGGGCTTCAAAGTGATCAAAAACTGCCCCGGCCGATCAACATTTATGTACCCGTCAACAGCGTAGGCCCTCTGGCAAAAATGAAAAAAAACCTAAGGCCGATGGAAACGGGACCTGGGCGATCGAGGGCACCGCGGCAAGTCGACAAAGGGGCTCCCGTCAACAGTGCAGGCTCATCAGAGAAATCAAAAAGAATCCAGGACTAAAATATTGTGGGCCTCTGCACGATCGAGAGTGTTCTGGCAGGAGAACATAGAGCTCAGGTCAAAGTACAAGTCCTCTGAGCAAGCGGGAATAACCCAAGGCCAGTGTACATGAATGAACGCCTTTGAGCTTTCGGACGAATGGGAAGAATCCCTGATCGATCAAAAGTGCCTTGGAATGTAAGCAGAAAGCATCCCAACAGAAAAGGAGGGCCCTCCTAAAACGTGGCAACGTGGAACCCCCTACCGATCGGATCGACCCGGCAAGTGCATGTACTGGGCCCCAGGTACCAGTTTATAACCTTAAGAGAGCGTTATGTGCCTCAAACTCTCTCCCATTCAGCGCCCTCTCAACCAGCAAAAATTATTTGTGACTGCTTACGGGCCCTTCATTTTGTTGTGTCTTGTGTTAGAAAACTGCGTCCATTTGACCGGTTACGGGCCCCTTCGGAGCTTACGGACCCCTTTGGGGCCTAAGAGGGCATGGCCCCGTGGTCTTCCGCTGGATCCGCCACTAGCCCGAACAGCGTAACAGATGGGGTTCCCGACGAGAGCGCAGGGCCCTCCATTCAAACAGTAAGAACCCAAGACCCAATGAAGAGGCCTCTCCAACGATCGAGTTTGCCCGAACAGGTGAACATGTGGCCCGATAAGAGCGTGGGGGCATTAAAGCAAACAGGAGGCACCGAAGACCGGGTGTGGTGGGCCCCAAACGATCGGGTGTCCAAGGAGCTCACAGATGGGGCCACCGAAAAGAGCGTAATGCCCTTCAAGAAAATAAGAACTAACCAAGACACAATGTGGGGAGCCCGCGGACCATCAAGTGTGCCAGAGTAGGTTTCAATATGGGGAGGGGGGGGGGGGGGGCGACAAGAACGTAGAACCCTCCACTCAAATATAAAGTAAACAAGATCTAATATTCAGGGCCCCAGAACGATCGAGTGTGCCCACACAGGTTAACACATGGGACACCCGATAAGAACGTAGGGCCCTCGGCAAGTGGGAGAAAAAATTGGAAAGGCTCTAGACCAATGTAGAGAGCCCATGGGCATATCACTCATGTCTCGGTAGGTGAACCGAGACCAATGTGGAGAGCCACTGAGTGACCGAGAGTATTCAGACAAATGGGCCCTCGGCTATAGCGTTAGAGACTTTCAGGCAAATGGGAGCAATCCGTAGAGAACCTCTGATTAATCAAGAGTTTCCTGGCACGCGGCCATGGTCCCGTGGCCCCCTCTGGATCCTCCAGCGGCCTGACGGACATGCTATATAGGTCAACGCCTTTGCGTAGTGTGTATAATTTTGTGCATAAAAAGTCGGTTTTTCTATTCCCTAAATTTAGGAGATTTTGAGTGTGGTCACACGACCCCGTTCGAAAGTAATTATGAAAATGCCTTGGGGGGGGGAAATTGACCCTTACCCGAGCGCCCGGCCACTCGGCAATTTGTCTCGCACCGTGTGTGTAGCGTTAAATTTCGCAATTTGTGGGACAAATGTTTCCTCCGATCGTTCCCCCTGTTGCAGATTCCATGGACGTCCTATATATGACCCATGTTAAGCCGAATGCACCGGCTGAGCGACAGTTCGCAAGCGCAGGCGTACTGCCAATCACAATTTGAAGGAATAACTTCATTGTGTGAAGGGATTACTTCGATGTTTACTGGGTCGCCAGGGTGGGCATATGAGAGAAAGATGAAAGTTGCGCGGAGGGGTGGGAGTGGTGCCGGTGGGTGTTGACTCGTATATTACGGTATGTGTCAGATCCTGGAGCGGTAAGGTAGTCGAGCCATTACTTATTCTGGTTGTGTGAATGTTGATAATTGTGAAAACTGGCGACTTCAGGCACTCGGCTTACAGTATGTGGTATGCGTCGCGTTCGCCTCTGACACTGCATGGGAGTTAATGGGGCAGGTGATTCATAAAGTTCTAAACAGACAAACCTCATTGGTGGGACCTACAAGACGTTTTTCAGGCATGTGGTCCCTGTCGAGTGTGATCATGCATAGGTTTTTTTCTAGGATCAGGACGATATTTATTGATATAAACTGCAGACTTGTGGGTGAATGCCAAAATGAGGCAACACCTCAGTGAAAAGCACATGAGCTTTGGTGAATTATCTGTGAGAGTGCACTTTCAACATTTCAAATATATATTCTGCATACTTTCATTGCTCGATGCTAATTTTGATGGCAAGTGCATGCATACTTTATGTGAATATGTAACACAAGTAGTGATAACATGGATAGCCAGGCCAGCAGCTGAACTATGGCTCTAGGATTATGACCAAGCAAGCATGCATTATGAAATTGCAGCCTAAGAAATGTTTAGGTTTATTTGCTCTTGTCATGAAAGGAGAGGTTGAATTTTAATGGCTCACTGGGTACTGATGTTTCCCTGGGTGGAGCATGCCTATCTTCTTTGACATACTATATGATGAAATGACTTTATTTCATGAATTGCATGTGATTGACCTTGCCATAGTTGAAATTTACCTAAAAAGGTATTTTGAACCCACATTGCTGTGGGTGACAAGTTTTACAATGCAATGCATATGTCATTATTACAAATGGTGTATATTGTATGATATTCATTGAAAATGCAGGCATATTGTTTGTTGTTATGTTGAATGTGTAGGCTAGTCATTGTAACAAGGGAGTGGTACTGATGGTACCCTTATCCATTTGAATAATCTTTATCATAATATTCAGTTTTAATGGTCTACTTCCCTCTGACAAAAAATGTAATCTGTTGCCGCTGTTGTACATGACATACATACTATGTGTTGCTGGAGATATTCATAAAGTAAAGTAAAAAATAAATTATAATGGTAGTCTTTAATAGTATATATATTAATATATATGTATATATATATATATATATATATTTACCTAAATAAAAAAAAATATGTATAATATGTATATATATATAAAATATGTATATATATATATATATATATATATATATACATATACATATACACACACACATGCACATTTACTTAATATAAGTAAGGACATCAGAACTTTTCTGTTATTGAAAGCTTTAGAAATGATCCCCACTGACATCTTTTCTTTTGTGAGAATAAAGATGGGCTGCTGTGTTAAGGTAAATTGAAATTCAGATGTAGCTGGCCTAGGACCCTTCGATGTGGTGTTGTAATTGGGTATCATAAACTTGGTGTTAATCATTTGTGAATAATCATTTGATCAAGTAAATCAAGTGATACATTTTTAACCATTTCCTGAAATCTTGGGGTCAGACATGTCGTGCCACATTTCTCTTAACTGGTTCTGATGATAACTTTTGTTGGTGAAGCTGAAAAACTGAGTAATACAAAAACCACTCAGCTATTCTTCTCTTTGATGGCAGAAAGGCCTAAAGGCCACTATGTGAGTTGTTCAGGAGAAGTGATTTTGGGCTTTGGATAACTTAATATGCTTATTTGCTTGGAAGATAAAGTTGTGACATTTTGAACCAAAGTGTTTTCTAATTAATTGACATTGTATCACAAGATTCAGCACTTTGAGTTTTTCAGATCATTGAAATTACTTAATTTCACAAAATGGTGCTTGGGTCTTTTTATGTTTGGGCTACAGATAGGCACTTATTGACCATGTGAGCCACAAGCATGAGTTATTTTGTAGATGCTGTCCATTCCTGGGCAGCCTGGGAACCACCTCTCCTTAGTGTATTGATAGCTTGATGCAGCTTATCCATCAGACATAGTCATCTGCAGTTGTTATCATTGGTACTTTTTATTTACAGTACCCACTCAAGATCAGAAAAAAACATGACAGTCTCAACTGTTCTACAATATTTCTGCACCAAGCCATAAATCAATGGGTAAAAGAGGTGAGCTGCACCAACCAGGAATGCACAAGGATTCAAAATGGTGCTGCCTGAAGGTCTTATTTGGTCAAAATTGATCAGTGTCCCAGAAGGGTAATAGGTATGTACACTTATGACCAAGCTTCATGCACTTGAAGTTTGATATCACATGAAAGTTGGTTAAATGTGGCACCATTTGCCGAAATTTTTCAGATCATGCCCAGGAATTAGGCTTCCACAAAAATCAAAAAGATCTTCCTGTAAAATGTTAGATCTTACTTATGCTTATTGTTCTGTGTATGGCTTCTGTGAAAATGGCAAATTGACAAAAGCATATCAATGAAGGGAGAAAGCACATCAATAAGGGGAGTGCTCCACAATGCTATGAGGTTTTGAGCTGAAATAGCCATCTTGATGATTGTTTGGTTCTCTTCACTGTCCTTTTCCTCTCAAGATCTAAACCACATTATTTTCTGGGCTACACGCCCTTAACACATGCTCGGGTGGGTGCGAGGATTAAATTGACCCCACCGAAGGTTTTTCCAGAATGGTTTCCGAACAGCACGGCTACGCCACGCCGTGTGTAAACCAATTTTGCATTTTTGCGTGTTGCAAAATTTTGCATAGCTGTAGACAATTCAATAGCAGATTGTTTAACATGAAACATTTGTATGCACCTCGGAAGGTCGCTTACCTATGGCCGGTCAAAGTCAGGCCATGGCTTCAGGGAAGGCAATTTCTAGGGAATCGTTTAATCTGATACAACAACAGAGTGTTTGACGAAGCCATACATCTCTGAGATGCTTTCTTAGGCACCACAAATATTGAATGAGAAAATTAAGTTGACCTCAGGTCAGTCATGAAGGTCAGACCAAGGTCAAAACCAAACTGGTTTGTTTCTCTAGGGCTTGCTGTACAGCATAGTTTCTGGTGCTCATTTCGAATTTATTGACGGCAGAGACCGCATCATACACCTTCTGTTGACTTTTTAGAGGTTAGAACAGGTCATTGACCTAAGATGACCTGGGTCGACATTTTGTTTTAGGAATATACTGCCTAGCATATTTTTTGTTGCTCATGCAAATGCAAAACTCAAAGTGGTCTTATATTATTTTGGTAGCCATGACCTTCAAAAGGTCAAACAAGGTCACTGACCTCGAATGGGCTCGTGACCTTTTGCTTAGAAACAGTTGCCTAGCTTCTGGGGGCACTTTGGAGACCAACCTGGAATTTGACGCTGTTTGACCTTATTTGACTTGAAGGTCATGACCTAGGAAGCTCAAACTTTGACCTGAGTGAGTTAATGTACAGGTCAAGACACCCTGTAAATTTGAAGGCTCTAGCTTTCTTAGTTCTCGAGATCTCAGGGGGGGGGGGGCATGAAATTGACCCACCTCCACCCGAGCGAAGGGTATCTAGCGGGCCGCCCGGGCGCGTGTTAAAGGTGTGCAAACTATTTTTTGCAGGCTGTTTCAACGTCAGTTAGGCGTCCTTGACACCATACAAACGCTATTCAAATTCTACCATGCCATATGGCGATGAAAGCCAAAAATATCGTTGTTAAGTTGTTCATACCTGGCATTCATGAGCACAATTTCCAGATATAAGAGCTGTCAATTGGCAATGTCTTGTAAGGCACAATGACACAATGTGACGATGCTGTATTCGAATGGGGTGAACGGGGTGCCGGTAGTGTAGTGGTTGACGCATCTGCGTTAACCACTGCACGTCTGGGAAACCAGAGGCACGGGGTTCGATTCCCCGCGGTCCCCGCCCTTCCCGTCAGGGTGAGAGGCAGGCGACGCCATATGGCCTCAGCAACTGAGTGCGTCGTAAAGCCCCAGTGACATGACACAACCTGCCCGGAACAAGCGGGGCGTTATGAGGATGCAGGATGAAGCAAGAAAGAGTATGAGAGCGCCAGATGTGTGATCAGGAATTACGTTTCGTGCTACATAATGTAAGAAGTTGGTCACAGTTGCTAGTTATTACGGAAAGAAGACTTGCAGTCGAATAGCTAAACAACAGCGCCGAGTATGTAGGTACTGACCACGTGAATGTTAAATTAGTTGAGTATATGAACAAGGGTAAACATCTCAAAGTCACGTAGAAATATGCAAAAACACCACGGGAAATCTCAAAACACGAGCACATGACGATATTTGGCTCAGCGAGCATTTTCAGAGCCGCCACCGCCATCTCCCGGCGAATTTGAAATACTTCACGTGAGTGCTAAGGTGGCAATTTTTCACCGCTCGCTTGACGCCACCTCATCGGCATTTAAACACTTCGTGACACAATCAAACAATAACATATTGAAGTGCATATTTACCAAACAGAGATTATGTTGTTCAGAACAGCCTATTCCACGTCAAAGTGTACTGATAATTATAAGTGCGCCTATTTCATCATGTCTGATGCTTGCTTCAATATCTCCAAATGTGGAACATTTCCTTTGAAGCTGGTTATGCGAGGAGATCTGCGAGCACTTGAGACACTATCAACCGTTTTGACTATACGACCTTAAGGCCTCAGAATTAGATGCCAGTTAGTGGACATCGAGGCTTTCCTCCCCCGTGAATCCGGTGTTTTTAGCTCTCGCTGCTTTTTAAAAGATCTGGAGTAGGGGGGGGGGGGGTCAATTGGCCCCATCTCTCACCCACACTCGAGCGCATTGCATTTAAACGTTCATCAAGGTGCGTGCTGAAGCTTAAGGATTATGCTATTGTTTTATAAATTTGTATTAAATGTTTAAGCTTCAGGCCATGCCTTTGCTCCGTTTTAACTAAGTGTCCTTTCTAACACAGCTGATAAGTAATCAACCTGAAATTCCACACGATTACCTTTCAAGTGTTAGTACTCACACCATGGCACATGCCATTCGGGGGGGGGGGGGCGGGGGGGGGGGGGGGGTGTAACTGCCGAGTGGTTAGTGCGTCGGACTCAGACCTGGGGAGCCTGGGTTTGAATTCCGGGTACGTCATGACCCTTGAACGCTAATACGGCCCATGCAGTCGCTGGCGCTCCGCAGGCAGTGGTGACGATGCGCGTTACGTTCTATTAAAAAAGCAACGTACCACAACGCATACCATTGAGAACATGGTATGCTTACAAAGCTTCACAGTTCATAGTGTGCACGGTCTCACTGATGTGGTGTGTCACCTTTCCTCCCCGAGCTGCATCACCAGCCCGGCTGCGTCTCGGCCGCCAGGTAAATTCTTGTGGAAGGACGACATGGTGGCGGGCGACACGAACGGCTTCGGCGTCGAGTCGGAGGAGCACGCCGACTCGGGTGGCGAGCCTACCGGCCTGCTGGGCCTCACCGCCAACAACCCCACCGGCGCCAACCGCACCTCGCTCGTCAAAATGTCCGCAGACAAGCGCGCCAAAAAGGTTAGCCGCCGCCGCTGGTGCCTCCAGCTACAGCAGTAGTGGAGATAGACGCTGGGTTCAACGGGTTTGTGTTGGTGCTTGGGGAAGTTAGTCAAGCGCGGACGTTCTGCTGCTAATGACGGCAAGAGTATTGGGGACTGCAATGAACATTGCTTTCGTATTCCTCATCCCCAATAGTATACCGAAGTGTCGCCTCAGCCTTCCGGGAATATGGACGAGCTACCCTGTTATGTTTTGCTAAGGACAAGTGTTACAGAGCTACGCTAGTGGCGTCCTCCGTTCCCTGCTCCACGTTCACCTGGCGACCTCCGCAGGTCCGATTCTACCGCAACGGCGACCGCTTCTACAAGGGTCTGCCGTTCGCCGTGCCGCCGGACCGTTACCGCACGTTCGACAGCCTGCTGGCTGACCTGACGCGCTCCTCGGTGGTGGATCGCGCCGCGCTCCCCAAGGGCGTGCGCGTCATCTTCACCCTGGACGGCATGAAGATCACCTGCCTGGACGACGTACTCGAGGGCCAGAACTACGTGTGCGCCAGCACGGACAACTTCAAGCGGATCGACTACCTGGGCAGCCAGGACCCGACGTGGAACACGCGCCGAGGCCAGCCGTCGCCGGCGCACACGCCGCCTCAGCACACAGGCAGCGCCCAGGTGAGCGCACGACGGGGCGGCCCGCTGGTGGTGACGCGTTGGGATGTCCTGTGAGGCGTATGCGCCTCACAGCACATCCCCACGGTTAAGCGGTGACGGTGACGGTCAAGCGGCTGGTGACCGTCAACCGCGCCTGGCAGGGCAGGCGTTATGTTTCACCTCATATGGCCGCGACGGCAGTGGTATTTTATCGGAAAGAATGTTTGAGTTTTGATCTGTAATATCGCGCAACATATGTCGACATTGACGCGCAGCATACAATAAGCAGGCCGGTTTTGACATCCCGATTGCTACCAACGAAGCCCTAAGGTGCGCTTGCCCGTGTCCACACAGTGCCCTACCGGGCCGTGCATCAGCTGCTGACGGTCTGCGGTGCGCCGACGTGCCGCCCGCGGTGAGCGGGCGTCTCTGACCGGCGCGTGACGCCACCGCTGCAGGACATGATGGAGGGCGCCGACCGGATGGCAGCCGGCTCGAGCTCGCGAGACTTCATCCGACCCAAGCTGGTGACGGTCATCCGAAACGGCACGCGGCCGCGCCGCATCGTGCGCATGCTGCTCAACAAGAAGACGGCCCACTCGTTCGAACAGGTGCTGCAGGAGCTGTCGCGCGCCGTCAAGCTGGACTCGGGCGTCGTGCGCAAGATCTTCACGCTGGAGGGCCGACAGGTGCGTCGCCGGGGAAAGGGGTAGCGGCGCCGGGTGGGGTGGGGGGCTGGTCGGCTGAGTTGTTGACTGTGGTGGGACAGGTGAGTGGTAGAGTGGTAACCCGCAGAGCGTGCAGTCTGTTACGGCTGGTTTGTGCTGTCGTGCATGTTGTGATTCTGGTAGCTGCTGACTTGAGTGAGGTCCTTGTCTAAGAGCTCTGTGTTCACCCTTGTGTTACAAGCGTGTCAGCCGGTCGTCTTCTGACTGTTTGGTGTGTTTGTTTGAAAAGCTGTTCTCCGTCTTGCAGATCAGAGAGCTGGAAGATTTCTTCGACGACGATGATCTGTTCATCGCGTACGGATTAGAAAAGCACCGGCCGGACGATTTCGAGCTCCACCCAGATGAGACCAAGTGGATCTCGAGTAAAGTAAGCTCGCCCGAATCTGTTAGTTGACTTACATACTTAGTTGACTAGCCGGTTATAAGTACTTTTCATTCGTGTGCGACATGAAGTCTTCTTGTACATGAGAGCTGGCAGTTTTTGATGTGTTTAAAAAATGAAGGGACATCTGAAACAACACAACCATACGATGACGTGGCCGACATTTCCCCCTTTATCGCACAGCCTTTGGGGCTGCAAAAGAGATTGGTGTCGCTTGTTCCAGACTTAAAGGGAGTGCTCCATGTTTGTAGGGGGTTTTCAACTGAAATAGCCATCCTGAAGATCATTCGGTACGGTTCACAGCCCTGCGCTTTGTAAGACCTAAACGCTCTAGTTTCTGATGTGTGCCCGCGAAGATATGCAGCGTATTTCAAGGTCACCCAGGTATCCATGACACCATTATGACGTCATGCAAATCGTGTCGTTCCGTTGGCCGTGCGGCAATCAAGGCCAAGAAAAGTACCATTGTTGACTCGTTCATGTTTGGTGTCCATGAGCGCGATTTACAGATACAACGACCGTCTTATGGGTCTCAATGTTGTACAAGGCACGATGACGTAATCAAACAATGACGCATTAAGAGCATATTTCCAAAACGGAGAGATTGCATTGTTTAGAGCAGTCCTTTTCACTTAAAAGTATGCCATTAATTACGAATAAGCTTATTTCGTCATATCTGATGCTTGAATATTTTCAGATGTGGAGCATTCCCTTAAAAGATCCATAAAAGATCGATGGGGAATGTTTAATAGTCCTTGCTGCTGCCTGTGCTGTTAGCTGATGGCCTTTCTCTCCAGTACTGTACATAACTGCTTCCCAATGATCTAGGAAGCTGCGTGTGCCGCAAGCAGGCCTCGGTGTAACCGGTGTCTGGCGCCGACAGAGCGCCAACCAGCCCCGGACGGCGCCCGGCCGGCGCGTTCTCTCGGCCCGCACGCCGGCGTCGCGCGCCTCCGTGGCCGGCCCGCCCGCGGCGCCCGACGGCTACGGCACGTTGGCCACGCCGCGCGCGCGCCGCCGGCTGCGCGCCAAGTCGCCGTTCCTGGCGTCCGGACAGCAGAACGGCGCGCCGCCGCCGGCCGCCGAGAGCGGCGTCCAGTGCCCGGCGCGCGTGCGCGAGAAGTACTGGGTCGGCAGGAAGATCGGCGACGGCAACTTTGCCGTCGTCTGCGAGTGTGTGCACAGGTGAGGGGGCGCTGCGGACGTCGGTGGGATGAGGAGGCCGTGTGGCCGTCGCTGGTGGCGGCGTGGCTGTCATAATGTGATGGCCCTGCCTGAGGTCTCCTATCCCGACGTCCAATGACATGGATGGTTCAGTTACTGACGTGGAGGTGCGTTGGATTAGTTCGCTCGCCTGTTGGTCGGCGTCTGGCAGTGCCGTTTGGTGGTTCTGGCGTGTACGCCGGCCTGCTGCTCGCACAGGTCTGCGGGCTCGGAGTATGCGCTGAAGGCCATCGACAAGTCCAAGTGTCGGGGCAAGGAGCATATGATCGAGAACGAGGTGGCCATCCTGCGCCGGGTGCGGCACCCCAACATCATCCAGCTGGTGGAGGAGTTCGACTTCCCTGGCGAGCTGTACCTTGTAATGGAGCTGGTCAAGGTGAGTGGGTGCTCTGTCTCCGGACGGCCGCTAGCCGCTGCAGCTCGGCCGAACGGCAGCCGCCCTGCCGTGCAATCGTCGCGGGAAAATCACGTGTAGCTGGCGGCGACTGATGCCGCCGGGAACAGGCGGATGCGCCGGACGGGATAGAGTTGCCGCCCTTCTGCTCGTAACCGCATCGATGCCGCTGCCAGGGCGGCGACCTGTTCGACGCCATCTCGACCACCAGCAAGTACACGGAGCGGGACGCCAGCAGCATGGTGCGCGACCTGGCTTCGGCACTCTCCTACCTCCACCACCTGGACATCGTGCACCGCGACATCAAGCCCGAGAACCTGCTGCTGGTGGAGCGGCCCGGCGGCTGCAAGAGCCTCAAGCTGGGCGACTTCGGCCTGGCGCAGGAGGTGACCGGGCCGCTGTACGCCGTCTGCGGCACGCCCACCTACGTGGCGCCGGAGATCCTCGGCGGCACCGGCTACGGCGTCAAGGTGCGCCCCGACGCTGCCCACGCGGCTCTGCGGCCGCACTCACCGCTGCATCGGTTTGAGCGCTCGACTTTTGGCGCCAAAGACTTGTGAGGTCGTGATGTAGTTCAAACACATCGTCGTCCCACGGTTGCATGCACCTCCACGTGCGAAGCCCACCGCCTGCGATTCTTTGTTCACGCGGTCTGGGCCCTGCGCTGTTGACCGGGCCACCCGTGCCCGTCGTGCCCATGCCGGCCGGTCGCTGTCGCAAGCGTCGCTGCCTCCCTGCTGACGCCCCCCCCCCCCCGCCCCTACGCCAGGTGGACGTCTGGGCGGCCGGCGTTATCACGTACATCCTGCTGTGCGGCTTCCCGCCGTTCGCCTCGCCCGAGAACAACCAGGAGGACCTGTTCGACCGCATCTTGTCGGGCTACTTCGAGTTCACGCCGCCTTTCTGGGATGAAGTGAGCGACTCGGCCCGCGAGCTCATCCTGGCCATGCTGCAGGTGGACCCAGAGGCGCGCTTCTCGGCCGAGGAGGTGCTCATCCACCCGTGGATCGCGGTGAGTGGCCGGCCGCGGCGTGTCGCCCGGCCGCCGGGCCGACCGGCCGCCCGGCTGCCCGGCTGCCCGGCTGCCCGGCTGCGGCACCGAGCCCTCGTGTGGTGCGCTGGTGGCTGTGCTGGGCGGACCGGGCCGCTGCGCTGGTGGCCAGTGGGCGCAGAGATCGGCCATAGAAGGGAATTAGGCGGATCGGGTGATGCGTCACTGCTTTGGTTGATATTTCTGAACTGATCAACGTTCCGTCATATGGCTGGGCCGTTCGTAGTCGCGCAATTGTCCAGATCGGGTTAATCTACGGTTTGTGTTGTTACCTGGGCTCCCTGGTGGTATCGCGCTGCCGTTCCGTTGGCGGGTTTGGATAAACTGTCAACCGGTACAGATGTTTTAGGTGCTGGGGTGTTGCCTTGTCTGAACCAATTAATGTATTGACTCAGAGGGCGGTGTTGGTTATCAAGGCGGTGTCGGTTATCATAAATGAGTTACGTGCTCGGGGGCCATTGATGTAGAGTTGCCACAACGTCGTCGCTGTATCCGAATGTGCCGCACCAGCGATGCACCCGCGGCATCCGTCCCCGCCATGCTGCATCTGCTGAGGCTGCTGGATACACTCTAGTTGATGGCGCTCCCCCGAGCGTCACCAGTCATTGGAGGTGCCGGCTAACCTGTACAAAAAAGCGCTTTGCTGCGGTCGGCCGAGTCGGCGAGGGCATCCCCACAACGCTTTCTAACGAGTCCAGCCGTGGACATCTTCCGGATAGTGCCAACTAACCTATATGCTCTGTGCAGGAAGACGAGGCATTAGAGAATGACATGCACGTGACCGTCTCGCATAAGCTGGGAATTCACTTCGACACGGACTCGGGCCGGCACAAGAACGCTGGACTGAATCTGATGACGGTGAGTGCTTCTCTACCGACTCGAGTGTCTGTTTCTCTCTGCTGTGACACTGGTCCTGCTAGTGCTTGCTCGCCACGACGTTGCGTCGGTGCGCCAGGGGTAATCGTTCTCTGTCTCCACAGGCCAAATCGTTGCCGTCTATCTCGTGGGCAGGCGAGATCGGAGCTCAATAGCGTGTATAGCGCCGGCTTTCCTGGACTTGCCTAGCACCCTTTTGTAGTTCATCCGCTTGTTATTCTCCCCAATTGTGATACTTAATTCCTTCTGTTCCTCCCTTACGCATCCGGCGGCGCTAGCGAGGGGCCGTGGAGCTCCACGCTTTGGTAAGCAGATGATTGAGGACATGCGATTAGTTGGATGACCTGAGAATAACACAAAAAATTGGTAGCTTGGGACGGATCGTGCTGATGTTGATGGAAACATGTGTTCACCCAAGATCCGCTACGAAGATTGGCTTTGCACTTGGACACCGTGATCTCACTTGGACGCTTGGAGGACACGGCAGTGAAATATCACGCCGCATGGAACAGTTTGTACTGACCGGTGCCTTAACAGTTTAATGTTCCAGCGCGCTTACAAGTTGGTTCTCTTTTCCATGGGCAGATAGTGACTTGTGAGGAAATTTTTTGGCAGAACGTCAAATCCCGCACGGAAAAATCACATGCCACGGATAAAAAACACAGCGCTATCGATAGCGAGGGCGGGCGTACTGCGTTTGGAGAAGCGGGTGGGCCGAGTATCACAGCATTCCTCATGCGCCACATATTGCACCTCATACAAACATGTAACCTGATGTCTTCCGTGCTGTCTTTTTCAGACAACTGCCCTAGACAAGGAGCAGGAGCTGTTCTTAGGCCAGTCCCTGCTGGGTGCGACCAGTCACTGAGTTGGCGGGTGACGTGCGGGCAGTGACGCGAATCTCAACCAACGACCATGCTCCCAAGCGATCTTTTTATTTGTGTTGCGTCGGTTCGAGTGGCTCCAAATCAGGCGTGCTGCGCTGTGCATGGTTTGGTTGTGCCGTGATTTTAACGAGCCGGACGCTGCCGGTGCGAGCCGGGCCGGGCAATAATTGGCGCCGTTGGTGTGGTGTCTTTACTGTAAATCTAGTGCTTTTAACGAGCGTACGACGCAAGCTGCTGTGGCCGCCTCGCTGCGCCTCCGATTCCCTCACCGCCCGTGTGCTCGTCTCTAGTCTATTTCGTGGCGCGGCGCCGGGTGGCTCGGTGCCGCCGGCCGCCCCCCAGGACGGGTCCTGAAATTGAGCGTGCCGCTTCGGGGATGCGCGCCGTCTGGCCGCGTACCCTGCTCCCCGCGGGTGGTAGCCGCTCGTTTGTCTTGGTGCACAACGATACCGCTGGCCTAATCAGCTGTGTGATGTATTTTATTCGTAGTAATTATTTTGTCAAATAAATAGTTGCACGCGAACGGCATGTTGTTAGTTGTGGAGGCGAGTGTGGAAGGCTTGTCAGGAGCCGATTCAGTCGTCTCGTGAAGGCATTGCCCGAGGTATTTAGTCGCCACTTAGTTTGAGCGCCTTTGCCACCGTACTGGAATAGCTGAGCTCCTGCGACACGTATAGCTCTTGTGTTCTAGCAAACTGCCAGGATTCATTGCTTTAGCACAGCCCAGAGTTGTCTAAGTTGTAAGTTAACGGAAACAAAGCGTTGGCAGGCGAAGCGCAACCCAGGTATCCGTTGGAGGAGCAATACACGATAGTGTTGAATGCGCTCCTCCCGAGAATACCGGTTTACCTCATGAGTCATTCTTAGGGACCCCAATGAGGTATTTCCTGTCACCTACTTCATGGTACGTCATAGCAATGATGAAATCAGCGAGCAAAAGTATCCGGTTGCTGGTGAGGGTGGCATGCTTGATAAGTGCAAAGCGTAAACTGCAAGTGTACGGCGAATCAGTTGTATGGAATAATATGATAATTGCAGTAATAATAATAATAGTAATGGTAAATGTTATCAGTAACAATAAATGTAATAATAATTGTAGTACTAACATGTTCTGTGTTTTGACCAGTTGTTTTATTTTCGCCGACGCTATTCCACAATGAGCGCAATATATAGCAGACATACTTGCTCGTACTTTACATTAGACAATACTGCGGATCGTCTCGCAACAAGGATGTGCCATTGTCACATTTATTGTGCGTAGCACTGAATTTTGAACGTAAAGATGCACACGTAAGGAAGTTCTCAAGCATACGACTCTGTCACTTGCGATGCTGACCGCTGGACAATGGCAGGTTTTCGTATGCCAACGCTCACAACGGACCGCGGGCGTATTGCCCATATCCGCCAACGAGTGCCGCCACTGTGCCTGACGCCCGCCACTACCGAAGGGAAGCTGCCGCGACAGATGGATGTCGCACTCCCAGTCGCACACCGCGCCAGCTGTCGACGCTCAAGCCCGTGGTGGGCATCAGCGCCAGCGGTCAAGAGATCATCATTGTTCCGCGCTCTTCCGCTTGCGCGCTGCGCAGACTCACCATTTCCGCTTCCACGTGGCCATCGCTGTCGTCCCGCTCATCTACCATGACTGTGTACGACTGTAACATCATCCCGCTTTGACTGTCATCTGGCGGTGGCCTAAGCGAGTGCTCGTACCGGAGCACGGCCGCCAGGGTAAGGAAGAGGTAGGCGAGCACCAGCAGTGAGACGGCCAGGTGCCAGCCACAGTGGGCCCAGGCCGAGCAGGTGGTGTAGAGCGCCACGGCCGTCAGCACGGCGGTCCAGGTGAGCCCGGCCAGCAGCAGCGGCCGCCGCCGCCGCGCCACGCCCACCATCAGCACAGAGGTCGCCACCAGGTGGAGGCTGGCGCCAGCCAGCACGACGCGTGCCAGCCACGGGTGCGGCGCCAGCAGCAGGGCGCCGGTCACGGCCGCCAGCACGCCGAGCAGCACCAGCAACACAGTGCCGAGAAGCGCCAGCGCCCGCCGGGCTGTGTTCCGGTCGCCAGCCATGTCCGTTGGTGCGAGAGTGAGGTAGTGGGCCGGGCGTATAGCTCCTCGGCGTCGATATCACCTTTCCTTGTCCTTCGTTGTGCTATTCTGAGCCCGCTCAGCTGCTTGACCTCGTGCGATCGTCGGGTAACACGCGGATGCCTTTTGCGCCGCACGATCACCGGATTCTTCAGCACTCATCAGGCGCGCACAGCCCACATAAAACCATCGTGGTCTGTATGCACTCACTTCTGTAACACTGTCGCGCCTCTATCTAAGCACTGCAACTGACTGGAAACCGGAATGACAACACGTGCGAAGAAGGCTTCATGGTTTCGCCGACCATTGGCAAGGTGCGCCTTCGTGGTTTCGCCGACCACTCGCAAGGCCTCTCCATGGATCGTTTAACGCACAGGTGCGCGAGGCGAGCCCCACGGTTTTGGTGGACTGGACGGCGCTCTGACGCGTCCCGTAGCTGACAAACGACTGCGACGGCGATTCAAGTGCAGGCTCGCCGGTCTGTTTGCGACCCGACACGATAACGTCCATCTGGAAACCGGTTTCAGGTTTTCCTTCAATGGCCCTAAAATCCTCACGTAACCTTCCAACTTTGACGGTAGGTGAAGTTAGCGCATTTTCCGCGGGCGCGGACAAGGACGGCGCCATGTCTGAGGTTAACCGTCGTTGGTGTTGGCGGGAATCTCGTTCCGCCGACCGCAAGGCGCGCTGTTGTGGCGCGCCGCGCCGAAGCCGGCCAACGCATTATCTACCACGGGGGGCGTCGCCAGTGCGCCGATCACTGCAGCGGGAATAAGTCACGACCCCTCCCCCCCCCCAACACCGTTCTCGACGGTGACGGTGCTCCTGTTTTGCGGCGGCGTGACCACTGAGCTCATCAGCTCGGCCCCAGCAGCTGACACCGACCAGCAGTGGCAAGCAGCGCCCCCGAAGCTGGATTTACTGACATTTCTGTTTGCGCTTTTCACCATCCGGCGTCGCACGAACAATACATCCTTGTCTCCAACACTAATTTCCCGTCCCTTCCCACGGGCCAACTAATACTTGCATCCAGCAGTCGTCAGGTTCGCAGCAACTCGACTCGTCGTCAGACTCGCGGCTCCGAACACATCCGTTCGTGCTGAGCGGCGTGGAGGGTTTACCCATGCTGCCCGAAGACCGCGGCAAGAGAAGCAGGGCCATCCGGGCAGCGCTCGGCCCACGCAGCTCTGGCAGCACCGGGCCGCCACGCCTCAGCCTCGGCACTGACAGCTTAGCCCACAAATCTCATACAGCGCCGGGCCGCCACGCCTTCACTTCGGCCCGGACAGCTCAGCCTACACAGCCGGGCCGCCACGCCTTCGCTTCGGCCCGGACAGCTCAGCTCACACGGCCGGGCCGCCACGCCTTCACTTCGGCCCAGACATCTCAGCCCACACGGCCGGGCCGCCACGCCTCCGCCTGGGCCCAGACAGCCCAGCCCACGCAGCGTTCGGCTCAGCTCGTCCATTTATTGCTCACATGATGCGGGTTTGTACGCGGCGCCTACCGACGGACAGGTGGCGCCGCTCGGCGGACAAGTGTGGCACCACGCCGGTCATACACATCACTACAATGCAACACGGGAGATCAGATTGTCATGCACGGCGGGCGGAGGGGGCGAACCGGCAGAACAGAATGCGGCCACTGCCCACGGGCCTGAACCAGCATCAGCTGACGTCATTTGGAAGGTACCGGAACGGTTACAGACTGAAACTTCCAGATCCGAACAGCCTGGGCGAGCCGTTTGCGAACAAGTAGGGACAGTCAAATACATTTGACATAAATACCAGGTGGTCCACGGGCACAGCGCCTGATTAATCGTACACGCACACGTCAGTTCATCGGCGGGCTTCCTCCTAGGCCCGTGCAGTACCGCTATACCCAGGCTGCACGGCGCACACGTGCAAACAGCATCGAAAGTCCTACAAAATCTAGCCAAAGACGCACGGCACGGTAATTCAGTAAGAAAGAAGGGCGAGGGCGACCGGCACGGTCGCGCAACAGGAGAGACAGGCGGGCTTGGGGCGCCCGCACACACCGCGCGCGCACACGCCTCTTATAAACAGGCACAGTAACATGTATGTATACAGCGGGCGGCGGGCCCGATGGCGGCTATGAAAGGTGGTCCACCCACGGCAGAGGTAAGCTGCGAGACGGAGCGGCCCGACGGCGCGCCGCCGCGCCTCATAAACACTTCAAAACACGTCATAACGGCGCGCCGGCCGCGCGGACACCGGCCGTGGAATGTTGCTGATAATCGTGCTGGAATGAAGGCGCCACCGCGGAGCGCGCGTGCGCGGTGTGAATATGTACAGGGTGCGGGGCGGGCCTCGCCCCCCCCCCCCCCCCCCCTCTGCCCGCTGGCCGCCGCCGCCGTAATACTGGCGCCAGCACGGACTGGCCAGCACGCGGCCAGTCCGGTAAGTACACCCGGGCCGCGAGCCCCGCTCCGCTTAAGTACGCACTCGGCGCGGCGCTCGAGCCCTCCCCCCTCCGTCCTGTACAGACCAGCCCCTCCCCAACGGACGGGCGGCCCAAGCCACCGCACAGCAGCACAACCGGGCATACATAGAGCCAACGACTCCACGGCGCGCACAGAGGGTAACGGTAAATATACTGACCTGAAACCGACTCAGATCTAAAGCATCTCTCCGCGCTAGCTGTTAGACCTCCGTATAATACCCCTAGGCGGTGTTAGCTGTGCTAGTCACACGTGTATAATCTACTCGGCGTGTAGCAGCCAGCACACGTCTGCGGATGACGCTGAGAGCGGGCGGCCTGTCTCGCCGGCCGCCGGGCCGCGCCGGGCCGGGCCGGCCGACCTCTCAGCCGCCGGCGGCAGCGCCGCGGACAGCACACACTCAGATCTCTCGGCAGCTGGCGGCTGGCGACGGCGCGCGGTCGGTCGCTGGCGCGGTGGCGCGACTGCTTGGCACATGGGCGGCGGGCGGGCGGCGGCACGCCTACACGTCGGCGCTGCACTGGGGTGTCACCGGCGGCGACTGCAGGCTGTATGGCTTGGAGTCGGCCAGCCAGGGTGAGTTCAGCGCCAGCGGCAGCTGGTCGCGCGGCTCGCGCTCCCAGTCCTCGTCGCGACCGCTGGTGGCCGAGTATTCCAGCTTAACCATGGTCGGCAGCGACGTGTCCTTGTCCTTCTTCTTGCGCGCGTACCTGGCCGAGAGACGGGCGTGAGGCGGGCGGCGGCGGCGCGGCGCGGCGCCCCCGACGGCGGACGCGCGCGCCGCGCGCACCGGCGGCTAGATGAGTGGGCGGTCTAACGCCGCTACCGTCAGCTGCTGCGCTACTGCCAGCCGCTGGGCGTCGGGCTGGTACCACGACTGCGGCCATCACTGAGCCGGACACGGGGACCGAAACGGCGGCTGGCGCGGCAGGACGACCGGGGGCGGAGGACGCGAACTCGTCGGGTGACGATGACGGCGCAGCGCGAATACGGACCGGCCGGGGCGGCGGTCGCAAGTGCCGACTGTCACCAGCCAGCGTGCTGGGCTGGTGACGATGACGGGCGAGGGACGGGCAAGGCAAGCGCACCCGGTGCGGGGCGTCGACAGATCGGCAGCCGGTGACAGGGCCACGCGCGTGTGGCATGATCCAGAGGACAATCTCACATAGACGGACTGCTGCTGATCCGGTGCTGATGGCAACGAGACTGGACTGACCGGTCGCAGGCGACGGTGCGGCGCCGTAACTCGGATGGAAAGCGTGCAAAGGGCCGGGCTCGGAGGACCGTGAATCACGCCAGGGTCAGCGCACGTGACAGGGGCAAGCGAACAGGTCGGCTTATATGGCAGTGCGCGGTTCCAGTTCGGCTGATATGAAAAGTGAACCAGATGAGAACCGATACCAACACTGCACCAGCACTGCAGCAACATAATACGCCGATGGCACAGCACTACTCGTCGTGAACGAGAAGTGCAGTGCCAAACGGAAGGCGTACATTACCTGTTAGTTGACCGACGTCTGAGTCAGCAGTCGACATACGACCTACGCCGCGGGCGGCTCACTCACTGCGCCTACCGAGGCTCATCTCTAGAGAATCCCAACTTCAGATGGGGTTACCTGCTGGCCTCCGCTACTGACGTGCGTGCAATGAGAGTGCGCGGCCGCGCCCGGCAAGTGGACGCCTTTAAAGATGGCTGAGCACCACAGCCGACTGGCTGGGAGCCGAGGCAGCAACAGGACGCCCGCGTCCTGTCTTGCCGCCCTGCTATACGCTGTCTACGTTTGTCCACAAGGTCTGCTTAACGCGGCCCGAAAAGTTTGTGTCGCATTAGGCGGGCCTGAGGCGGTCTGCCTGATGGGAACTCCCCACAGCGGCCTACACGGGGAACGCGGCTTCTAGCAGCCTACGGAACACACGCCTCGCGTGCCGCCCGGACCGCCGGGGAGGAACCCCAGCCTGCTACGGCCCGCCAGCGGTGGCAAGTTGGGCCGCCTGAACGGAGCCGTCGGGCCGCCCTTCAGCAGCCGACGGGGTCCCAGTCCCCGTTCCCACTACCGGGCCAGACTGCCGGCCCGTTGCTAGACGACCTACCGTACGGAAATGGTGGCGATACCCAGTACCTGTACCTGAGGTCGCGATTCCACTTGTCGATCTTCATCTTACAGCGCACCCAGAGATCGTCCCGTCCGAACTGGTCCTCCTCCGCCACCTTGCTCACGTGAAACACGATCGACTTGATCAGGTCCATTTTCTCCTTGTCGAAGATCTGACGGTAGCGAGTGGGCCAGTCAGACTGGAAGGCGCCGCGCGGCACGGCCGACTGCACGACACGGGGTCGCGGGGCACTACGGGCGTGCGGGAAGCAGAAGAAACACAACTAGAGGGGGGGGGGGAAGGAGCGGCACTGACATGTCAGCTGACATGTGCGGGGATGGACATCTGAAATCATCAGCTAACCGTGCAAAGATCCACCAACAAAAGACGCAAGCAAACAACGCCAGTGGCGGAACCGGTGGCGGACTCCGTCCCAGCGGGGACGTGGCGTGGTAGTCACCTGCTTCCCGTGGTCCCCAGTGGTGTTGGAGCTGATGCGCTCCTCTTCAGTGAAGAGGTTCTTCATCAGCTTAGCTGCCAGCGTGGGAACGTCCAGCATGTTGCCCATTGCCTCCATCACCTGCAGCACAGAGGCCGGCAGCAGTCAGCGGGAACCCGCCGCCGTCACAGAACAGGCGCTCGCGACACACAGCCACACGTCTGTCGTGTCTCGGCCGACTACGGGCCTCTCCAGCGGACAGAGGACAGCCGCCACCGCCGTCGCTGCCGCCGTCACAGAACAGGCGCTCGCGACTCAAACAGCCAACGATCTGTCGTTGTCTCGGCCGACTACGGCCTCCAGCCGGAACAGAGGACAGCCGCCACCGCCGTCGCTGCCGCCGTCACAGCACAGGCGCTCGCGACACACAGCCACACGTCTGTCGTGTCTCGGCCGACTACGGGCCTCTCCAGCGGACAGAGGACAGCCGCCACCGCCGTCGCTGCCGCCGTCACAGCACAGGCGCTCGCGACACACAGCCACACGTCTGTCGTGTCTCGGCCGACTGTGAGCCCGCCCAGCGGCGCGTCCGCCGCCGCCCGTCCGCCACTCCGGCTCACCTTCTCCTCGGGCAATAAGCTGCTCCACCTGGGGTCCTTCCAGGGCAGGTTGTCGGCGCCGCACGAGCTGATGAGCGTGCTGGCGGCCGCCTCCGAGGTCGACTGCGTCGTCTGGGCGGCTGCAGACACGCGGCAGCGCCGTCAGCAGGGGAGCGCCGGCGCGCCGACCGACCGCTAGCGGTGCGGCGGACAGCGGCCGACCAGCAACATCCCAGCATGGGTCACACGCGTCCGCCACCTGCTGCGGCTGGCATATAGACAATCACGAGGCTATAGAACCCAGCGGTTGAAAGCCGGGAGGTGCTCATCGCACCGATACCGAAGAAACTGACATTTGAAGAAGCTTGCAATATGTGCTGATCTCTCACAACGAAGGACTGTATGAAGCCTGGTACTGTCCGAAAGACATATTTGCTCTCTCCGCACCTTTCTAAGAGCAATACACATTTACATCACTGAAAGTGTTAAAAAAAATCCGGAAGACAAACCAGGCGTGTTAAAACCTAACCATGCATATAGAGCCAGCCAACATAAGACAAACTATGCATAAACTTAAGGTAATTTAATCGGAATCTAGCGGCAGGAAAATTTAGACGTTGCAAAACCGAAACATGCAAACGCATCAAATTGAAAAGATGTAAAAAATAAAGGAAGCAGTCGTTAATATCAAAACTCAACATTTCACACACAGGCCAATTAATTCGGGTACTAAAATCAACAAATGCTTTCGACTAGCATGCACAGCACGACAGGCAGCCTTACTTCACAAAAACCCGTCAGGCTGAAATGGGCAACGTTTGGTTAGATCATCCCGAACAGGCATAAATCGCAAATATACGGTGATACTGTGCGGAGCGAATCGATGACACGGTAGTTCCGAACAAGCACCGGTTATAGTTGCAACAACGTTGTAATGTGTAGAACGACACCGGACTGCGTCATTCTGCACGTTATTTCGACGCAGTGTCAGCACGGCAATAATGTGCGAGGTAACTAACTGCCCGTGAGTGGTGCACAAGGGCTCTCAAAGACACACAGTGTGGTGTTGAGACCATTCCCACGCCTGTCTAACGAATCGGTGTGAGATCGGAGCTGGGTGGAGACTGACCATCCGGAGATCGGAGCTGTAACACGCACAGCACACGAAACACGCCCCTCCCACCCCGCATCCTACCCAGGAATGGTTCAGTCCACGTGACCGGCGCCGTTCGGTCGTACTTCCTGCCCTGGGCCGTCCAGGAACACTTTGGGGCCAACCCAAACTGCGTTATAAATTGACACCTGGCGCTCCAGCTCGGTCCGAAGCCCAATTTACGTTTGTGTGAGCAGTATTGGGATCTCTGCCATTTGATCCAAGCGTGTGTAGGCGCGATGAGCTTCACAATGGGTGAATTCAAACCTGGGGTAATGCTAGGTCAAAATGACTTAACAAAACAAGGGCCTGGTGATGTCCGGTTTGGGCGAACAGCTCGCTTCCTATTCATACCAGGGACGCTAAAGACAGCAGACGCTGACTGCATATTTCACATGTGTTTTTTTACGGCAAAACGTATGTTCTGGGCCAGATATCTTGAACGTTGCGTGCGCTCTTCTCAATGAGTTGACGCCTTTCTTTTCACCCGGGTATTTATCGCTGTCCTGTAACAATTCCACGGAATTTCGGCGTTGACACCAGCCCCGTAGGAGGCGAGCGCGCTGCTGTGAGACTCCCGTTATGAAATTGTCAAAATTCAAAATATAATATACTTAAGCTGTCTGGAATCCGGTGAGGGACTAATACTGTTTTTGGGGACTCAGATTAACTTGTTTTAAAAAAGCGCTTTTGGCCGTTTGACCGCTGGCCGGGACGAAGAGGGCGGCGTCGGTACGTCTGACCGGCGGCCGGCGGCCGGCCGGTCCAGCCGCGGGGGCTGCGTACCGCTGGGTGGCGTGGCGGTGCGCTCCTCGGCCGAGCCGTCCTCTGTGTCGCCGCTGACCAGCTCGATGTCCTCCTCGAGGCGCCGCTCGGCCGTGGTCGCCTCCTCCTCGTCGTCGTCGCCGTCGTCGTCCTCGCCGCTGGCCGGCTCCTCCTTGGGCGAGAGCAGGCCGTTCTCCTGCGGCGGCGCGGGGCGTGCGTCAGGCGGCCGCCGACGCCGACACACTACTCGCCGACGGCCGACGCTAATGGCACGCCGGCGTGCGTCGGCACGCGGCGGCCGGCCGGGCCGACGCACCGGCCGGCCGCCGTGTCGCTGCCGGTCGGCGCCCATTCGGACCTCAGCCACCTTCCACCGGCCCGACACGCCAACGGTGCTACAGACGCCAGGGCTGACAACCTACTGGCGACTGCGAGCAAGCGCCGAGAACATGAGAAAACATGACATCATCGAGGCTGCGCCTGCATTGGCGGCCGTGCAATATGCTACCTGATGACCATCGGGTCGCATTGAATGGGGAAACCGCTCCATGTGAAACTTACAGCTTATGCGTGCCGTAATTCCTTAGCCTTAGAACTAAGTGGAACTAGTATATGGCCAAAGTTACTGATGCACAACAACCATGCTCATTTAATTCACTCCTTCACCAATTTTTCACAAACTTTGGCAAAGCTAAGCTGAATTAAGTCCTGTTAATTATGTGGGTTATCTCGTAAAGGCTTAAGCTATTGAAGAAGTCCGCCAACAGCCATCTCCGTGTCACAGACGTAGAACGCTGGTTCATCCCTCAGCACCGATATGATTATTCCCTTCGGCACGCTTGTTCACCATTTCCCACGCAAACACTTTGCCCATTTTCGCATTGTTCCAAAATTTGCTGCTGTGATTATTTTTTTTGTAGCTCGAGAAAAATAAAAATCTGAAAACATCTCACACAAGCACATTTAACCCAAAGCACCGTTCCAAAGCTTAGCAGGTTTCAACGGGCTAGCGTCGCCGTTTACATCATACGTAATGAACTTCGCCGAACCGTCACACCTTTCCTTACTGTGCAATGGCTGCAATCATGCCAAACTGTCAAACTTTCCTTACTGCGCCATGACTGCAATCGTTGGCAAACAAACCGGCCACAGCCGGCCATAAAACTTGATGCTGTGCGCTGGAATGACTGCAGATGCATCATTTGCACATTGGTTGACTTTGTACCTGAATATCAAACAGACCTTCAAGCCAATACCAGCGACATCATTCCGTCACAGCCCGATCCAGGACCACGCCCAGAGCAGTCATCACTGGTACTGCCATCGCCATCCAATCCACCGTCAGATCCCGTACAGCCGGCCTCCCGCCTCTCCGTCACCCCACTCACAGGGCGGCCGGGTGGCTCCGGCGATGGCGACTGCTCCCGCGGCTCGGCCGGCTCGGCGGACTCCGGCTCCGGCTCCGACTCGGCGTCGGCCGGCACGTGCACGGCGTGCACGGGCTGCGGGACGCGCGACTTGCGCCGCTTGGCGGCCGAGCCGGCGGCGTCGCGCGGCGGCGTGCCGGACTCGTCGCGCTCGTGGCTCGGCTCGGGCGTGCGGCGCTTGGCGCTAGCGGCCGGCGCCGCCCAGACGGCGGCGGCCGCCGCGGCGGCCGAGGTCGCGGCACGCGGCGCGGCGGCCGGCGTCATGCTGGTGGCGGCCACCGTGGCCGGGATGAGCGGGGGCGGCTGCGAGGCGTCCAGGCAGCGGTCGGCGCTGTGGCCGTCCGTCTCGGTCAGACCCTTGATGCGCAGCGTCTCGGCCACCTGCGGGCAGCAGCGGCCGCTCCTGAAGGCTCGGCTCGGCGTCGGCACATGCACACACACAGACAGATGGACACAGTGAGCGGTGGAGAGGAATGGGTTCCGTAACTGAATACCAGGCCCCTCTTAAGCTTGGGGAAGTTGGGGACGTTCCTTGGGGGGGGGGGGGGGGACGTTGCACACTGGGCTTCTGCAATGACAGGAGCATAACTAGCGCCACGTCGCACTGACGAGCTCACCTTGAGAAAGCTCGGCAGCTGGTTCTGGGGCAGGCGAATCTCGCCACTGTACATGAACTTGACGAGCGCCTGCGCCACGATGTGCGGGATGTCGTGCAGGATGATGATGGGGTGCGGGTGCGGGTGGTTGGTGAGCAGCGTCTCGAAGTAGGTGGAGCAGGCCGACAGCACCAGCCGGTGGCACTGCAGCGTCTGGTTCTCCACGGCCAGGGTCACGTCGGCAAACGCAGAGTTCTCCAGCAGTCGGCGGAACACGCCTTGGATTGTGCTCGAGAAGCTGTGCCACTTCAACACGTACTCACGCTCGGTGCCCATGGCGACGGGGCGGCCGCGCCTCTGCCGACAACAGCTATAAGTCAGCTACTGGCACATCACAGAGAGCCTCCATACCCTCAGAACTGCAGCAGTTATGGCAACATTTCCCTGTAATTTGGCAGCAGAGATGTTAACAAGAAATGTTGCATTGGCAATGTTTCAGAAGTGATAACATGTTGCACATGGATCATAATTTTCATATCACCAAGTCCATTCTTCTTGTCTATTTTGTAACTTCTAACACTATCTCAAGGCCCAAGTGAAGTAATCAGTCACTTCAATAGGCATCTGAAGGAGGTATAACTCAAGAGAACTTAATGCAATCTGGGAGTCATAAACAACATACCACTTGGTCATGTCACGGCCACATGCCACAAACTAGCACCCTGCTAACAAATACAGGATGCATCATGATCTATCACCTGAACATCCTTTTACACAATAATAAAATGCAGCCTGAAACAACAGGATCAACATCACTTGAGCTGTGCATTACCATATGCTGTCACTGTATCTGATGGAGCATCCATTATGCTCCATCAGATATTTCTTTGACACTCCACTGACAGCATCTGGTCTGTTTAGTTTTCAACTTTGGTTTTAGGAAATTGTTGGTAAGTCAGTTTTATCTTTCATCTAAAAACCTATAATGAAACACCATGACATGGGCAATTTGTCCACTTGCATGCAGTGTCCTCAATAGACCAGGCTAACTACTATCATAACTTAAAGTTAAAGTCAAGTTAAGACTCAAAACACTGATAAGCTATCTCATTGAAAAAGCCATTATCATGTCTGGTAATCCATGTTTGGAGTGTCTTCCTTGACTCTTATACTTCATTGGTAGGAAGATTTCTGCCATCCAAAGGAAAAAAAACCAGTATGCACCATCAGGTAGAATAGCACTCAGGCCTTTTTGCCTCTGACCAGCATAATTTTTGGTAGGGTTCTCAGCTGAGATAGGTTGTAGATAATGGTGAGACAGGTATTACCACTTTCATGCCTTACATTAAACAATGATTTTCTGAACATGAAAGACACCTCTACATAACAGGCTTCACCTGTAAGCAAAAGCAGTCAACACACTGACATTTCAACAATAAGGAATAGGTACCTGAAAAACATAACAAATAAACCAAGTATACCTTGAAAGAAGTTAATTGGCTCACTGATGCCTGCATCTGGTCAGAATCACTGCATTTTCCATTGATTAAAAAACATTTAAAGCAAAGGCTATAAAAGAATGTCATACCCATATTCCCTTTACATAAATTTTGATAATTCATTACCATACAACACCCACAAAAAACATTTTTGAGACAAATGTCTTGAGCATTATACCCTACATGTTTGTCATGCATACTGTTGATGCTAGTGTGTAACTCTAAACAAGAATGAAAATGGAAACATTGATTGTGCTTTCTTTTATGTTTCCCATACTTGCAACTCAGATACAATTAAAACAAGGAATATGTCAATGGTCAATAGGGCACCTAAACAGACAGTGTGGTTTCCTGTGAAACAAGTGGCACAGGTTTTGATTCAAACACTAGTGATCTTAAAATAATGGCAATCTGTCATAAACACCATCACAACTTAATTTTCTCAAACTGAAAAACTGCTTTGCCCTGCCAGAAAGCCAACTGAAATATCCTTTGATGACAGCAGTAATATTCAGGACACACTGTGGTCATGAAACACCCCAGTCCTGTGATCTTGTAAAGATGTGCTAAACTAAGTCCTGTTTTATATCTAATTAAGGATGCTTCCTACCATTCATGAGTATTTTCTGTCAATAAGTGATTGCTTTTAATTGATAGTTATAGGCTAGAGGTCCAGCTTTTAGGGTCAGAAGGCAACAGGTTAATGCCAGCAAATTGCATATGAAGCCACCAGACAGGATCCTGGTAGCACAAATGTTCATTTATATTTTGAACACTACTGGATGAATTTTAGAATGTTGCATTGCTTAGCATTTCATTACTGGAACAAATTATTCAAGTTCTCACTACATCCCCTCCAATTATGGGTATGCAGGTGGGAAAATTGTCTAACCAGCTTTTTGCCCACCAAATTCACCTTTTTTATTGAACACATATGTATCATATATGCTACTATTTTGCATCCATTCTCCTCAGATAATCTTATAACCTTACCCATATTCTTGTAGTAACTCAACTTTGGTTTAGATACATGGTTTCCTGGCACTGGTTATCAGTTCAGAAATATAAGAAGAATGTTCTTAAATATACTAAGCAATCTTTAAATACAGATGGATTAAAATCCAGCACTATATGAAACTTATTTAGCATTTCCTAATTGTATGCCTGGGAAAAATCATGCTTAATACAAATACTGTCCTATAAGCAAACAACAGGGCTTTGCATCAGTTTGTAACAGATTCCTGCAGTTTTTTATCCTCAAGGTATCAATACCAGACCTACAATGCAGAATCATAAATGTTCAATAAATATGGCATCAGATGTTTCTTTATCACAGGTCCGTAGGACCTGGCACATGTATGCTGCATTAACAAGAGGAGCAATATGTTTCCCATTCATAAAGGGCAAAGTTTTCCATCCAGCTCCAGGGGGATGGGTTCAGCCCAATCCCCCTTCTAACTGGGAGAAATACACCACATCCAGAGGGGGAAGCAAGTCTTTTAGTAATTTGTGGGTGGGTTTCCAATAATTCCAATGCTCCACCTCCAAACAATTTTGTGAAAACAAGTCTATAAACATCCATATGCTTTTAACCACAAGCAAATACTGCTGGAGAGGAAAAGCATTGTACAAGTGTGGAGGAAGATACCAAAAAACAACACTTATAGACAATACTGTGTTGACAGCCCTCCTTACATACAAAACACCCAATACAAATGTGTGGTGCCTATAAACAGGAAATAAACCTGTGCTCACACTGCCAATCAATACTTGGCCCTCCTAGGTTTAGGAGCAAATTATACTCATTACCAGCAACATCATGTTTTGCATCACAAAGAAAATGTGCTCATTTGTGCCATCAGCATCATTTCAGTGTTTTTCAACAAAATGACAGAGATACTCGCATATATCACTTGACTCCTGAAGACATAACCAGCCATCATTGTCATCTAGTCTTACATTTTCAATGTGTTAAAACTTACATCCAGCAAAGATGGAAATGATGGCAATCACTGCACTAAGCTACATGCAGTAGCCAGTTGTTTCATGCATCATGGCACAGTGGTCCAAGAGCAATGAAACATCAGACCTTGTCCTTCACGCGAACCACGGACACTTAACAGGCGACAAAGGAAGATAATGAGCACTTACCTGGCGCAGTGCAGACAAAAAATGGAGGCCTATAACTAAGACGCACAACGGAAGACGACTACAAATCTCACCTGAACAAATATCCAAGCACCCAGTGAACCACACACAAAATTCTTGTCGTTATCTAAGTCGCAGTCATCGCAACCATGCACAAAAGCACGACTGTTTTCAGGCACACAGAGCCCTCCCGCAACACAAATTCCAACCTGTTGATTAATCGATTACCTTGAGGCGAAACATTCCCAAAAGAAATACCACTATTTATAAACCTTAACATTATATTTGTTAGTATTTTGAAAATTAAACTATTATACAAATTTCAATTTTTTTCAAATTTGATTCCGATTTCTTTTTATTTTGTTACTTTATACTGAGAATATGTAAAACATTTTACTTCTAAACGTGAGCCGGTGTTAAGCCTTTGGCCTTTCCCCAATAGAGACGACCTCTGTTCAAGGATACACACTTGATGTATTATTGAATAAAGGGTTGGATGAAGCAAGAGAACATCATCTTTGTTTTCTGATTGGATAGTTATTGCGCTCCAACGAGATTGACTCAATCTCAATCTCAAACATTCCTCATTATTTTTTCACTTAATGTTCTTCAACGCTATGTTGCATGTAAGATAAAAATGACAACGCACGTGCCACTAAAAATATCATTTAAAAAATGCAGAGAAAACTGCATTTGATGCTCAAACCAGTGACAATGCAAATGATCCTCACTACAAGCATATGGCCTGCCATCTAGCGAAGTTTTCAGGAAGTTGAAGACCCGTGCTGAAACTGAAACGGGTGAGGGCGGTTTGTGTTCGAGAGCGAAGCGCCTGTGGAGGAGCGCAGTGTTGCAGTGTGAGGGGGCGCGGTCTGCCGTCGGCCGGGAACTGTGCGAGCTCGGTCTCCAAGGTCAATTGGCTGGGTAGCCGGCTGTGCGTTAAGGGCTTGGAAGATTCGGGTGTCCGTTACAGGCCATTGGTTCGAGTTCCCTCGCTTGGACTTGGTTCCTAAGGAAATCGTCTGAAAAACGTTGACTCAGACCTGAAGCCATGGCTCTGAACGATTGCTGCCGCTGTGTGAAGTTCTTCTTCATCCTGCTTAATCTCCTTATCACGGTGAGCTTGAATTACGACCGTCGGTCCCGTCTGACATTCCTCTTCTGTCACCGTCCCATGTATATCAGGTTGCCGGTTGAATGCTGATAATGGTGTTGCGTAGGTTAAGAAGCATTCCTGACTGCATTTCTTCACCGTCAAAGTAATGAGAAGAATATCGGACAATTCCAGCTTCGTCAGAAGGCTCGTGTTCCCCCTTTGTTATTGCGGAGACCTGTAGTGCTGCTTGTGAGGACACTTGGGTTGTCCGTTTGGGGTCGGATCGGTTAGTTCAGCCGTCTTCTTGGCAGACATGCCGTCATGTAGACGTGGAAGCCCACGTGTTACGACCCGTAATTTATTCTTATGATGGGTCCGTCTTTGAGTAAAACCTGATATTTCACACAGTTCTCACGCAAGACTGGTTAGGTGATTCTTCATTGTAAGATGGGTACATTTTCTTTAAACTGTAAAATATAGCTATTTTAGGTACTGTTTAGCACATGAGGTAGCAGCATTCGCCGCGCACGCCCGAATAAGTGCGTTCAGACCATGTGTTCATCTGCCTTGCACGCAGCAGGAAGCTTTTTTGTATTCGGATGGCATATATGGCGTCTGTTTAGGGTTTAAGAGCGTTTCCTATCGCAAGTCACTTTTCCCATGCGCAGCTGGTTCTGTGTTTCTCGGACAGCCACGTTTGTGAAAGAGAACACTTGCGTGGATTGACGGGTTTCGGCATTACGTCGAAGTACAGAACCATGCTACTGATGCTCCCATCCAGTGTCCGGTCATTCACTTAGCATTTTGCAGCATTCGTTCTTCGACTTTTGGTAACCGAGGCGACCCCAGTTTATCAGAGTTGTGGTTTCCTATTCAGGACAAGTTAGTATTTGTGTTAGTTATTTATTTTTGAAGTGGGCCAGAGCGGGGGAGAAACCTGTTTGTTTGCGTATATTGGTGGTTGGTCACGTTTTTATCACTGTTCGGCCCCTGCGACTCATTTCATGTTGCGGAGCTACTTCCCTGCAGTGAAATAATCTCCGTCGTGAAATCTGGACTGGCTCCCAGGTCGCAACCGACCCGCCTCCTGGGCGCGTTTGCGGTGGCCTGCGATGGCCAGCCCCGCCTTCAGATACCCACTGTGCCTATGTCCGACCTCCGCAGTGTCAGACTCGTGCCCCCCGGACCAGCTGACTGCCCCACACCACATCCTCTCAGCTCGACTTTTGGACGCTGCGAACGTCAAATCCCCATGTAGACACGTCCTCTGCCACCCACACCCGATACTGTGTTTCGACATCGGGGCTGGGCGGCCGGCCCGGCACCGCGGGCCACTCCAGGCGCGTGGCGCAGCAGGACCGTGCTGGTACCGGCGGCGGTCGCGGCTCGTGCCGGGACGGCGCGTGCTGCTCGGCATCACAGTCGGCGGTGTGCCGGCCCCGCCCCGCCAGCGCACGCCGGCTCGGCCGTGGCGAGAGCTGCGGATGGCCCGCCGACCGCCGGCGGCCGTCCAGGCTCCAGTGGATGTCTTCCAAGGAGGAAAGAGATCTGGTGTGGTGTAATCTTCCGCTCGTTATCAGTGTCCGGACCCTTTGTTTCATGATTTAGACAAAGCTCGGCGTCCTCACTTAACGACGACATTAATGTGCTGAAAAAGACACGTGTTTTTGTTCATTATTTTGAATAGAAAGTGCCTCTCTTTCCACCCACCGTGACGTTTATTTATCACGTGTTGTGTTGCGAGGCCGCGCCCTGACAAACGACGCCAACATAGTGACAGTTCCTTCTCACATGCCGATTTACGTCTGGCCGATACCAAAATCACAGCACCGTGTCGCGTCAGTTCTGGCCGTGTCAGGTGTTTGGCTCTGACGGCACCCGCCAGCGGCCGGTCAGACCACGCGGGCGGCACGGGTGCCAGCTCGGCCGCCGGCCGGCGGTCCGCGGTCGCCGTGTGGGGACCATGACGGGGCTGTTTGCGGGCCCCAGCGCGCGCGCGGTCGGACCCGACCTCCGGTGGCCGGTGAGAATCGCCGGCTACGCTGCGGCCGCGCCGCCTCAACAGCGCCGTCCGGGTCCAGTCATCGGGCGGCGTGATGACGTCCCCGCCGGCTGCTCTGTTTGTTGACGCAGACTCGATGGTCCATGGCGGCGGGTTCTGGTCCTCACTGCGCTCCCGCCGTCCTCAGTTCGCCCTCCACCGGTGTTGCCAGCAATCGTGCTATTTTATCTGAAGCGTAGTTAAGCCATTATAGTCTGACCACGAAAGGAGAATCGGCTGCAGAAACACGGATCGTTGGCATCTCCATGGCCTGAATGTTTAGCGCCTGGCACCCCTTGACGTCACTGCGCGCATGTCCGGCCCTCTGTCCGCACGCATCACTGCTCCGCGAGAAAACCGAGCCCTGTCACGCCTACCGTCGGATTAGCAATGAGCGTCGTGGACGATAAATGCGGCGGCGATAGGCGCTATCGCCGCCGCATTTACCGACCACGGGCGGGCGGCGCGCGAGGAACACCGCCATTAGCGCGTAGATCGGCGCGTCCCGGCGCCGCCGGCCGCGCCGTTTCCTGGCAAATTGTCTGGGCCGTCCGCCGTCACCGTCGTGTCAGCCGCGCCCCCAGGCGGTTGGCGAACGCAGCACAGCAGAACGCCGGCTTCCGGCGGCCGAGGGAGGGGTCGGGTGACTGGTGCCAGCCGGTGCCCCGTCTCGGCCGGGGAGACGGACGGACGGTGTCATCTGCGCAGGCCAGACGGCTAGCTCGGTTCGGCTCGCGGGGAGGGATGGCAGTGGTGCTCGGCGGCGAACTCAGAACTTGCCAGACCAGACCAGATAGTGGAATATTCCCCACCTAACCCTGCGGCGGGGCAGGGCGGTCGCCCCTGGTCATGGTGGCTCAAGGTCAGGACATTCGCGCGTTCGGTGATGTCGGAAGGCGCTCTGTGTATGATCAGTAAACCCAAAATAAACCACAGCGCGGTCGGGAGGACCCGGACCCACACTTTCAGAGGAACCTGACATGGGACGAAGGGAGAGGAGCACCGGGTTTTACAGCTCAGGCGTTTGCACACGCTTGCTTGTTCACATGTATGCTAATATTTGCCTGTCGAAGCGTATTTGACAGGTCACGTTTCTTGCTGTTACCCGTCATTTGAGTAGCTTACGGGTTCTTAAAATATATGTATCCTCCCTATTTACGTCCAGTGTTGCCGTGCGCTGAGTCAGCTTTCTATTGCTTACCTCTCACATGCAAGTCATTATTCAGATGTCGTGTGTCGCTGTCGTGATGCTCAGACACGGTGGCCTGACCATGTCAAGGTCGCGCTGCATCCCACTGACGTTCTGTGCGAATCCAATAAGTATTGCGTCCGGAAGCAGTTCATCCGTTCTGACGCCGTCTCCTCAGACGCGATCATTCATCTTGAATGTTTCCCTCATGAATCGCCATCAGGGCATCTACGGATCATATTGAGCTGATTGCGGGTGGGTGGCACGGGACCAAAGGCGTCCCGCGCTGATGGATTGCGGGAGACCGGAGGTTGGTAGGCGTGGGTGGAGAGCCTGGTACACTCCTCGCGGTTGACGCGCGCGCGATCGGCTGGGCAGGGGCGCAGCCTCCGACCATAACTCGGCACCTCTCGGGAGAGCGACGTTATGAGCGCCGTAATCGCCCGCGTCTGGCGGCGATGACGGCCGCCGGGCGCCCTGTGAGACGGCGGCAAGCATAATCATCTGCTGACGAGCTGCCGCCGGCCGCAACAAGCGAAAGCGTGCCGTCGCTCGGTGCTGGCAGGGGGCCGCGCTCGTAGGACAGCCGGCGTCGGGGCCAGTCGGCACTGCAATGGTCTGACCTGGTGGGCCTCAACAGCTTGCCTAGGGAGGCTGGCAGCGCTGAGAGCGCTCAGGCTGCTCAGCAGGTAATCACCTGAGCGGGCTGATACGCTGTGCGTGTGTGTATGTCGTGGCGCGTTATCTGTTCCGGTCGGCTGCCGTTTCCAGTCGACGCTGTCAGTGAGTTGGCAGGCGTTGCGGCATATGCGCCCATTCGAGCACGTCCCCGGGCCGTGACCACCTCGCGAAGCGCGCAAGGTACGCTACATGCAGGCACCTGCAGCGGCCGTGTGTGAGGATATCCCATCTGTGGTGCGGGAGTGAGAGCGGCTGGTCCGAGTCGCCGTTGCCGGCCGCGCGTGCGCCGGTGGCGTACAATTCTCGCTGGGTCGCCGTACTCAACGGGGAGAAACGCGGCGCTTTCGCTGCCCGCCCCACAGTACGCCAAAATCAGCGGCCATCGGAGGCACCGAAAACCCAACAGTCATCCACGACACTCGACGCTATTGTTGTATTGTTTCCGCATGGGGTACCGTGGCCTGGTCGCAGACTGCGCCATTGTCCGGTAATGACTCGAGCGTATTTTGAATAATCTGTGTGTTTGCGGCCGGCGTCCCGACTGCATCCATCACAGCGCCGACAGGCGTCACGGATGACCGGGCACCGTCGGGGCTCTGGTCGCAGTGACCCCGGCTCAAGCCGGCGCCGGTGACGATCGCTTGTGAAGACTCGCCTGCCAACGCGCAGCGTCGCCGACGCGGCGAGCTCGCTCTGAGCGGCGCTCCCGTCGGTGATGCCGTGGGCGCCGTCAGCTGCTGGCACCCGTCGCGAGCGTGCCCTAGCCCGTTGCCGGTCCGGCGCCCCCGCCGCCCGGCGTCACCTTTTCAGCGGGCCCTCCTGCTCCCCTCGTATCGATCGCTGGGTAGGGAGGGGCGGGGGGGGGGGGAGGAAATGGCCCCGCCGGGCGTCATTGTGCCGCGTGTTTTTGTCGAGCGTTTCATGACGGGCCTGGGCCCCGGCCAGCCTCGGGTCACGTGTCCGTCATCGGCGGACGGCAGCGCGCTGCGGACCGGGTGTTACGGGACGCCACTCTGCAAGAGGGAGACAGCTCTGCGAGAGTGACTATGTGAGAGAGACGGCTCTGCGAGAGAGACGGCTCTGTGATGGAGACGGCTCTGCGATAGAGAC